AACAATCAGACTGATAAAAGATAACTTTGGATAGCTAAAAAAAAGGACAACATTCCTCTGGAGGAACCAAAGTCAAGATTCTCAAGGTAAATAACGAAAAAAAGTGGGAAGGAAGGGAGGCTAATCTCCAACTGTACTACAAAGCAGCCCTAGTCACAACTGTTTGGTACTGAGAAATAGTAAACTTAATCAGTGGATTAGATTTAATACAGAACATTCAGAAGCAAACACAGTGTGATGTGGTGTTTGATAAACTGAAAGACAACAGTGACAGAGAGGACCTGGGTGGCAGGTAGACCTACACGTTATACCATGCACCGAAACACACAATTTACATAGAAAAATGGTCACATCCTAAATTAGAGGAGCAAGGAAGAAGAAGGTGTTTGTAAGTGTGGCTGGAGGGAGTGATCATGACCAAACAGGGCATGCAGAAGATCAGAGAAGGCACAGTGCCGATTATGTGGAATTGAAAAGTTTTCAAGTGCAGTTAAAATTATAAGGAAATTTATCATTGGACAAAAATCTTAGCGCCTTCCAAGTGGATGTTTGGAGATGTCATAAGCTCAGTATGTCTGAGCTATCCTTACAATCTTTTCCCCAAACCGCACCCTCTTCTGGACTTCCCTGTTCCTCCTCGATGTGCTGCCATCCTTTCAGGGTCTCCCGTTCATCATCTTGAGATTGTCCAGGACTCCTCACTCTCCTTCCATCCACACACATCCTGTCACTTGTCAGACCCTGACATGTCCACCTTTCCAGCATTGCCAGCGCCCTCAGTGCCTCTTACTTGTGTCATTGCAGTAGCCTTTGTCTTGTGGCTTCTGTCCAGGTCCCGCTAAAATCTTACCGTCTACTAGAAGCCGTTTTTAATTTATCATGTACGCGTCTTGTTCGCGCATTGTTTTTGCATGTTGTCTGTTTCGTTAGACTGAGCCCCTTGGTGTTTATGCCTTTCTTTGTATCACCCAGTAGTGCCCAGCACAAGACACATAGTAGGTGCTAAATAAGATGCTTGTGGATTTGACTTGACTCCTCATTAGTGTCCCCTCCTCAGGCCTCTCACCTCTCCACTTCAGCCTGCAAAGGGCTGCCACAGGAACCTTCCTTCTGCTCGTGTCTGGCTCCTTGACTCTCCTAGCGCCCCGGGATCGGATCCAAACGCCTGCGCTAGGCTTTGCAGCCTGCCTCCATCTCTAGCCTCAGTAGACAAAGATGGCATTCCTCCTCCTGCACACTGTGATCCAGCCACTCTGGCTTTCCCTTGGTTTCTCCTGCCCTTTGCACTGGCTGTCCCTCTCGCCTGGAGCCCCTTTCTCCCTCCCTCCCTTTAAGGCACAGCTCTCCGGCCCCCTCTTCTGCATGAAGCCTTTCCTGATTCCCCCAACTGCACTTGCCAGACTACCTGGTATTCACCAGTGTTGCGGATATTTGTCTTCATTCACGTGAAATTTATGCTGCCAGCGTTTTTATATGTAATTGTCTTCCCCATGAGAATGGAAGCTCATTTTGAATAGGGACTGTTTAATTCACTGTACTTCTACCCAGCATGCCTAGCAAAGTGCCTGGCCCATACTTGGCACTTAATGAAAAACTGGGGACTGATTCCTGTGATCCAGATAATCTAAGAATGACAACCCTCCCCACCATGGATAGGCAGAAATTCAAACATTCAACAATCATGAAAAAAAGGTTCCAAATCATTAATAATTAGAAAATTCAAGTTAAATCCATCCTGCGGTTCTGCCTAACAGCTATCAGAATCTCAGAGGTGATAAAAAGTTAAAGAACAGTTGTTTGGAGGGCTGAGATAGGATAGTCAGCAAACACTTAATAAGTGATTACTGTATACCAATTACTGACAGTACAAAGAAAGATAAAAACATGGTGGCTGCTTATAAGGCCTTCATTTTCTAACAGGGGAGATGACACGAAGGTAGCTTTGTATATACAGTAGGAGTGGGAAATAATCTCAGAGGGAAAGAAGGAGCACTGGATTATCTTGGGGAAAGGCTCCTGTAGAATGTGGGGTTAGAAATAAGTCCTGAAGGAAGCATTCCAGGCATGGGGGGCTTTCAGTGAAAAGGTAGAGAAGGAAGAGGCCATTGTGTCCCAGAGAGTAGCGGGGTGGGGTGGGGGGAGCACGCCTGGATCAGGGAAGGAAAAGGAAGAGCGTTTATTAAGCACCTGCTATTTCCTGGACACTATACTAAGTGTTGGTGTGTGTGTGTTTTTTTTTTAACAAATGTTAAACCATTTGATCCTCAAAACAGCCCAGGAAGAGGGGTAAGGTGCTATAATCCCTATTAAATAGTTGAGGAAACTGAGGCAGGCAGAAGGTAAGTGACTTACCCAGGGTCACAGTAGTAGGTAGTAATTGTCTGAGGCTGGGTTTGGACTCGTCTTCCTGACTCCAGCCCCAGTGCTCTCTTCACTGTGTCCCTTAGCTGCTTAATGTGGTGGGAAGTAAAGTGTAAGAAGGAGCCAGGTTGGGAAGGGCTTTAAAGACTAACAGAGGGGAATTGTTGGAGATTATTCAGTAGGGAGGGTGATGTAGACCTAATGCTTTAGGAACATCACTTTTGGCCCCCAAGTAGAGGATAGATTGGAATGAGGAGAGGTTTGCATCAGAGGCCAGCTAACGTTCCATTGTGGTCATCTGGCGGTGGGGTGATGAGGTCCTGCATCGGGGAGATCACCTTATAGATAAGGCAGTGTGCCCCAGACAGGCACGCTGGTACGCTGTGGGTGCAGCTGTGACTTGGTCCAGTCATCTTGGAAGTATGCCTCAGAGGTGACCAAGCCCTGTATCCCCTTTTATCCAGTGATTACTAGCCCTGTACCCCAAAGAAATCCAGAAAAGAGGAGAAAGCCCCAAATATACAAAAGTGCTGATCAGTGCCTTTCGTAACTGGAAAGAGAGTAGGTGCCCATCAATCAGAGAACTGCTGGATAAATTACAGCGTACGAATGGAATGGAATAGCACGAGTAAGAGAAACCTGGGGAGACTTGAATGAGCTGATGTAGAGGGCAGTGAGCAGGATCAGGAAACCCAGAGTGATTGTCCCTGATTCCAGGACACTGGCAATGAAGCACAGGGGCTGAATGGAGGAGACATCCCTGGACAAGGCTGCAGGGTGGTTTGTTTCGCTTCACTCTGCATCTTCATTACTAGGATCATGTGTTTCTCCTTTATTGTTGGGGGAGTGAGGAGCTAATGATCGTGTCCCTTCAAAAAAGAAGGAAAAAAAGGGGAAAAAAAGTCTGTAAAATTTACTGGAGGAAACAACTTTAGACAGAAATGTAGACAAGTAGGACAGTGTTGAAAATAACGTATTGAATTTGTTATATGCTTAAAAAAGCAAGCTTCGTATAATAGAGATTTGATGTTTCACATATAATCCTCCTTTTCTGCTCTGCTTTATATTTGGAAAAATGTTTTTGATATAGTTGTTAAATTCAGAATGAAAACTTTTTTGAAAAGCATCTTACATGTGGCCCCAGAGCAGAACTAGATGGAAGTCACACAGAGACCAATTTAGGTTTGCTGTAGTTCTTATGAAGGCTTCCCAGCTGGGAGGAGGGGCAGCAGAGACCCCATCAGCACTTACTTGTCCAGTATGTTATAGAGGCTGTTCTGGGCGGACTGTATGGCCTCCTAGGTCCCTTTCACCTTGGAGAATGGCATAGCTTCTTCTAATGAAGCAGAAGCTTAATACCCAAGTCCCAGAAGGGTCTCTATATAGTCAGGCCTGGGTCTGTGGATGCTCTCCAGCAGGGCCAGATAGAGGCTCTCGATGACTTGGGTGGGAAGTCCTAGCGCTTCGCTTGGTGCTAGGAACCGTTTCACCTTTACCCAAGTTCCACGTCCCATGTTCTGGACTTGAACTGGCATTTTCTTGGCCCCCATTCCAGTACTCTGTTTTATGCCATGCTTTCTTTACAGATATGTAACAATTATAGTTAAATTAGTGAATAATGTAGTCATTAAGGTTAATTAAAAGCACATGACTGCCTTTTGGATGAGATAGATGGAGCCTGCGATGATGAGGGAGATTCAGGTGGTCCCCAGTGCACTGCTCCAGGGAGGCTGTGCTTGGCCCTTGCTGTCTGTCCCCTGTTGGGCTGGATGCGCTAGACAAAGCTTATCAGATCTGCAGAGCGCACCGAGCTGGAAGGGACGGTCAGCATCCCAGAGGGCTGACATCGTAGAAAAATGGGCGGAATTTAATAAACTATAACAAGGATAAATGTAATGTTCTGTGCTTGGGTGTAACAAAGAATTAGACAGAACAGAGGTGTGATGCAGGAAGTGTTAGACCTTTTATTATGCACGTCCTAACACCCTCAAGGGGGTGGTGGCAGGAGTCGAGGGCAGTGAGGAAGTACTATAATGAAGAAATGGCAGCTGGGAGGCAAGGGGATGGGACTGTTCTTTGAGCTGTGGAGCTCAACTGTGGGCCTTACAGAATGGATTGATGTCAAGTTGGAAGCAGGTCCCTAGCAGTCAACAAGGAGAGGTCTATCACTGTGTGTTCTGGGATGCCCGAGGGCTCCTAATCCCCTTCATGCCACAGCAGCTGAAAGTTTCCAGTTTGACTGAGAGGAAACAGGTTCTCGGGCATCCATGTTGTCTTTGATGTCTTACACCAGGCACCATGGTGTATGGGTTAATGCAGAAGTCCTTGGCTGAATTGAAGCCTGGGATTTCAGGGACAGGCATGGAGAGGGGCCGTGCTGAGTGTTTCTAGCAGAGGGGGCCTCTGGACCGGAGGCCGTTTGAAGGCGCCTGTGCTGCTGAGATTCTGTGATGGCAGACTCGGAGTCTGCAGGAGTTATGGAGGAATATGGAGGTCTGCCAGCAGGATAAAATGCCTCCTTTGTGGGCAGGAGTTGGGGGATCAGTCTGGGATCTCTTCAAGTGTCTGTTGAGATCCAGATGAAAACTTAGCTTAATTATTATCTTCATTCAGATGTCTTCTGTGACTTTGTCTTTAAGGTTCCCCTTACTGAAGCTGTGGACCCAGTGGATTTGGAAGATTACTTAATCACTCATCCCCTAGCTGTGGAGTCTGGGCCTTTACGGGATTTGCTTGAGTTTCCCCCAGATGACATCGAGGTTGTTTACAATCCCAGGGACTGTCGAACCCTTGTGTCAGCTGTACCTGAAGAGAGGTGAGGAGGTCTTCAGGTGGCCCCGGCTGGGTTATGAGAATTGCTGCCTCCTTCTGTAATGGGGCCCAGCTTCCTTGATTGTGTCACTAATGGATACTGTCATACAAAGCAAGGGCTCCTAATGTGGCATCTGGGAATATGTTTTTAAAAATTATTTTGGTAATTATTTTAAGATGATTTCTTTGCTTTGTTAACCTATGTTTACATGTTTAAAAACATGATTCAGGGAAGGGTTCCATAGGTTTCACGGCAGCACTAATGGCTTTTCTTCTTAAACAGTGAAATGGACCCGCACGTTAGAGACTGTGTAAGGAGCTACACCGAAGACTGGGCCATTGTGAACAGAAAGTAAGTTCCCCGGTGCTTGTGTCTGTCTGTAGTCGCCACTTCAGTAGCTCAGGCTCAGTTACTAAAAGCCCAAAGGTTTGGAAAACTCCTGACAAAAACAGGAGAGGAGGAAAGGGAACATTTTAACAGACGCTTCCTCAGTGAGTCCTTTTTACTGCATCACTTTCACTTCCCTTTGCCACTGATAGAATTCCCCCTTATAGGCAGACGCTAGAGTAGAGCCAAGACTGCCCCAGAGGCAGGTGCAGAAGGAAAGGAAATGTCTGTATCTGTGGGTCCTTCTGCTACCCCCCCCACACCTCTCTGAGGAGGACTCCTGATTGTAACCTGAGGAGATGACGTGTCGAGCTCTTAGTATGTGCTGCTTGAGTCATCCCGAGAGAGTGAGGGCCCTGACGGTAACCGTGGTGACGACGTGTGGAGCCATCCCTTTGAAGGTTACTGTCCTGCCCTGGGGCTGGTTGTCACAATTCACTGGGGTTCGTGGGGTGCCCAGCACCCCTTGGGGGCACTGCCAACATGCGTTTTCAGTGACTGATTAAAAACATGGCCTTGGCAAAGAAAGGCTACTTTTATTAACTTGCAGCTTTGACAAATATGTGGACCATGGTCTCTTAGCTGTTGAGCAGAAGGGTGAAATCTAGGAGGAGGGGTGTGTGTGTGTGTGTGTGTGTGAGAATCAGAGGTGTAGTTACTGCTGACATGTATGTTTACACCCAGCAGTACTAGCTTGTATGTATTTATGGTTGGAGTCTAACTAGAAGGCTCTTAAGGAGGCTGCAGGCCTAAATGAAGTGTGCAACATATTCTGTGAGGTGTGGGCTGAATTCTAGTCTTTGCTCGCTGACCTTTCACTTTCAACACAACCTTCCTCTTCTTATTTAGGCAGTTATTTGTAAACTGTACTTCATACCAATGTAGTTTTGTTCAGAGTAATAATTAAAAATGAGTGTAAAGGTATTCACATAAACTAAGATCTTGGAACTCTAGCACCAAATTAAACGTGCATTTTTTTAACCTGTGTTGTAGGTGGTATTATTGTTGCTAATTAGCCTTTAACACCCTGATCATACATACACTACAGTGGATTTGTATTCTCATGTGGGTCTTCTCTCCAAAAATGCAAATTGCAGCCCATCCTTACCTGCTTGTCCCGTGTGACTGGTGTCCAGGTCTTCTCATAAATCTGCCATAGGGATTCCTTCCGACGTGCTGAGAACTTTTAGCTTTTTAGATCTTGCCGTCATATCCGAGAGCACGTAGACTGTTCGTTGATTGTCCCTCCCTCTTGCTGTAGGGCCCATCTTTTTTCCCCAGGGATACATTTCTCTGATGATGTTCTTTAAATTCAGCAAAATTCTCTGTTGGTAATGTAATATTTCTTCTCATGCCACTGTGTACCTCTCTCTTGTTCTTGGGGTGACCCTGAGACTAGTACTTCATAGCCTGCAGCCATGTGGTCCCACCAGAAAAATAGTCATGCTAGAAAAGATGGTTTTTTGTTTGAGGGAAATGATTGGGGCCATTCAAAGTTCAAGTTCCCAAAGGCTCTATTCCGTTTTCTCCCTTTTGTTCTGTTCTGGGCTCACCTCTGTGTATTCGCCATGCCTGTCTAATTTATATGTACTGACAGATGAGCCTTTGAGTTGTCCATCTACATGTATACCAGAGTATGGATGACAGTCATTCAGCATCCACTTTGTTTTTCCTGTATGGTTGGTTAGATTAAACTCATTTGAGTATTTGTGGGTCTTTTTAAGAAGGAGACCCTGCAGTGTTCTTGGGTTTGATATAATCCACACAATATCATATGCAAACAGGATCCTCTAGATGACCTTTCTTTCTATAGGGAATTCCTCTTCTACTGTATATTCTCAGTGACGGTGGCAGGTACCACCTCCTGGTTGGCATGTTTCCTTGATTACCACCCCTTTATTTGGTGGCATCCTTCCGTGTTCAAATGTGGGCTCCTCGAGGGCAGGGGATGTCTTGCTTCTATATTTTTATCCTCAGTGCTTAGCTTAGGCCTTGGTACTTACTGACTGCTTTACACGTGCTCATTTGTTCATCCATCCATCCACTGGTTTGTGAGATCTTATGTTCTCTATACCTTTCAAGTCTTTTGTGCACCTAAAGAATGGTGGGTTTTGTGGCGTATCGTTTGTGGAAGCTTTCCCATTCCTTTCTCGTATCTTCTTCAGTATCATTTTGATTCATTCTGTATTAATTTTGTAGAGCCGGGAGAGTAAGCAGTTACTGATAACATCTCATTTCTCTTGGAGGTAACACTGAGGTCTGAGATATTTCCAAAACTTTGGATGTTCTCCCTTCTTTGTGCCTTGGTAATTTCTCCCAGACTGAGGAGAAGACTTGATTAAGTGTCTCCTGTGTGCCTAGCATGGTGCTGAGCGCTTTACAGACAGTGTCTCTTTGGATCCTCATGACTATCCTGAGAGGCAGGTGCCACTACTATTCCCGTTTTACAGCTGAGGAAGTCGAGGCAGACTGCGTCCAGGTCCGCTGTCACTGATGGTGAAAAGTTTTTCTTGAAATCCTCCACAGATTTTTTCCATTTTGCACCTTGGTTGTTTTCCATTGTCAGCCCATTTTCCATTGCTGCTTTCTTTGACTGGGTTTCACCTCCATTGATTCTTATCACTTTATAAGTCAGTCTTGCTCCTAGTCTCCCAAGGACTTCTCTGTGAGTATCCTGAATCGATGGTGTCTTTGGCCGCCTCCTCTGGGCCCGTGTGGTGCTGTGCTCTGGCTCCCAGTGATTCCATGTCCTTCTCTTTGTCTGGGTCTTCCTCCATGGTACACCCCCTCATCGTGGGCATTCTGCAGTGCTCTGTCCCAGGCCCTCTTCTTTCTCTGCACTCTCTGCTGAGTGCCTGTGGCAATGCCGGCGGGCTTAATGATCATCTTGGTGTTGTTGATGTCTACACATACAGCCTGGTATCCAATTAATCAATAAATCTGCAACATCTCACATTCGTATTCTTCCCTCTGCTCACATAGGAATTGGATTGCCTATCAGTTGAGGAATATTATTTTGATATGAGAAATAGTAAATATGAAGAATTTAGGGAAACTTGGTAGTAAGACTTAATTGAAATGGTAGAGTGAAAAAAGCAGTCAGAACAATCTTATACAGTGGCCACAACAACGTAATGGAGAAAAACTTTGAGAAATATGTGAAGTGTGATCAGTGCAGTGATCAGGCTTGGCCTTAGATGGTGTCAGTGAACCTTATCTCCCTTCTCCTCCTGGAGCAGGTGGAATTTCAGGTGCCAAAGAAGGCAAAGGTTTGTTTTCATTAACTGGACTTCTTTGCAGTGGGGGGCACTGGTGCCGTGAAGCAGTCTCTGCAAAGTGAAAGTGGTCAGGAATAGGAAAAGCTTCAATAAAACTTAAAAAGAAGTTTTTCAGCGAAGCGTTAAAGCTGTGAGGCTGGCAGCACCTTGATGCTGGTCTGTGATTTCAGTGTAGTCATGTCTGATTGCTCACCACGACAGTGTCGATTGGACTAGCGCCTTCCATGCAACTGATGGAACAAATTATTTTTTTTAAATAGAGGAAACAAAAAGAGGCATTTCTTTTGAAAGGAAGGTAAAAAAAAATTACTTTCAGTTCCAAATTCTCTCCCCTTTGTTCACTCCCCCACCCATTAAAAAGGCAAGAAATATGATATCCATTGTACGTGTGAAGTCATGCAAAACATATTTCCACATCAGCCACGTTATGGAAAAAAAAGTAAAGAAAAATAAAGAGAAAGCAGTTGCTTCAGTCTGCACTGAGTTCATAAGTTTTCTCTCTGGAGGTGGATAGCATTTTTATTATAAGTCTTTGGAATCGTCTTGGATCATTGCCTTGATCAGAATAGCCAAGTCTTTCACAGTTAATCATTATATAATATTGCTGTTACTTTGTATGAAACCAGATGTTCTTACTTCACTTTGCATCAGTTCACATAAGTCTTTCCAGGTTTTTCTGAGAGCATCCTGCTCGTCATTTCTTGTAGCACAATAGTAGTCCATCGCAATCACATACCACAACTTGTTCAGCCATTCCCTAATTGATGGGCATCCCCTCAATTTCCAGTTCTTAGCTACCACAAAGAGAGCTGCTGTAAATATTTTTGTACATGTAGGTCCTTCTCCTTTTTCTTTGATCTCTTGGAGATATAGACTTAGTTAGTGATGTTGCTGGGTCAAAGGGTATGTATAGTTTTATAGCCCTTTGGTCAGATGAACACAGGGTGTGAACAGTGACTGTCAGGGTGTGGATCCGAGGAGGCCTGGGGTGGAGAGTCCACAAAGAAGGGTCAGACCACTGGCATAGTTTGAACCCTGGGCATTTTGCGGGTAACAGTGGTGGGGCAGTGTTCACTGGCTTCACTTTTTAAGCCATCTAAGGCCAACTTTCACACAGGCAGCAGGTGGTGTGGATAAGCTTGTCTTTGCTGTCCCAGTCACTCTGGGTCTAAACCTCAGATTCCTGTAGAAGCAGGGTTCCTTTTCACTCAGATTATTTTTTCATTTTTTATCTTGGCCTCTCAGCCTTCTTCTGCCTTTCAACAATCATTGCCGAATGCTTTTGTTAAAATGGCCTTCCTCACGCCTGCTGCATAATGGTGACGTCCTCTTCATCTAATCTCAGCTGGTCCATCGTTCCTTTCCATTTCCCCAGGTTCTTGGGCCACCAGCTGACTAGAGAGGATCTCCTGATTCACTAGAATTTGGAAAGATCTTCTGGAGTTTTACATCAAGCATACAAATACGTGCATTACTGGTTGCCAAATCCAGCGGCCTTTTCTCCGTGCTCATTCTCCTTGACTCCCCTGCAGCCTCTGACACTGTTGGCCCTCTCTCTTCCTTGGTATTCTCTTCTCTCCAGGTTTTCAGGACAACTGTCTCTCCTCAGTCTCCTCCTACTTCTCTGACCACTCCTTCTCAGTCTTTTTTGCTCGTTACTCTGCCAGATCACCTGCACTCTGTCCTGGGCCCTCCTCTCTTCCCCCTCTATATCACTTCACTAGGTGATCTCCTCAGCTCCCCTGGATTTCATGCCCATCTCTGTACTAACGATTCTCAGATCTAACCATCCTGCCCAGCCTCTCTGCTGCCTCAACCTCCCCTCTCCCACTGCCTTTCAAATGTTTCTAGCTGGACGTCCTGTGCACAGCTTAACCTCAACATGTCCGAAGCAGAACTCATTATTTTTTGCCCTCAGATGCTCCCCTCTCATTTTCTCTGTTACAGTAGAGGCACTACCACCCTCCCAGCCCCTCAGGCTCCCAACCTAAGAGTCACCCCAGACTCCTCGCTGTCTCTCGCCCCCACATCCACTCTGTTGCCAAGGCCTGTGGAGTTCACCTCTGCAGCATCTTTCCGCTATGCCCCCTTCTCTCTGCTGACACAGCCCGTACCTGTGCAGACCCTCACCTCCTCACACGGGGGCTGTGACAGTTGCTGCTGGGGGTCCTCCCTGCCGCCATTCTCTTCCAGTTCTACTCCGTCCTCTATTCAGCCATGGAAGTGATTTTCCTAAAATGTGTTCCACCGCCCACTCCCACCCCCAGCCTCCCCAGGTTAATAAACTTCGGTGGCTCCCTGTTGCTTCCAGGATCAAATTCAGAAATCCTGTTTGGCGTCACAGGTCCTTCATGGCAGAGGGCCCTCCTGCCTCTCCAGTCTTCTCGCACTTTTCCCCCACATCCTCTTTAATCCAGTGGCGCTGGCTTGGCTCTGCTGTGAACGAGACCCTCCATATCTCCCCGTGGCCAGAATGCTCTCCCACTTCCTCGTTGTCTGCCAGCCTCCCTGGCTTTCTTTAAGTCCCAGCAAAAACCCATCTTCTGCCAGAAGCCTTTCCCAGCCCCAGTTAGTCCCCTCTGTTGATTGTTTCCTGTTTCTCCTGTGCAGGGAGTGCTTTGTGTAGATCTGTTTGCGGCTGTCGCCCTCATTAGACTGTAAGCTCCTCGAGGGCAGACTTGTCTTTTGCTTCTTTTTGTATCCCTAGTGCTTAGTACACTGCCTTGCATACAGTAGGTGCTTAATCAGTGCTTATTGACTGACTCACTGTCACACACATTTGTGAGAGTACAAGGAAATGGGACTGGAAGACAACAGATACTGTTAAATGAATATTAAATGTTATGGTACCTTGGGTGGGTGGCTATTTGTTTACTGCACACATTTGTCATTCTATTGGGCGTTACAATTATTTTAAAAATGGCAAGAAACGTTGCAGAGAAATATGTACTTTTTGAGTAAGGACACTGAAGAATTGAGTTTGACAAAGGTAAAGTGGTTTAAATACTTGAAATTTTTTTGACAGGTACCACAAACTGGGAACTGGCTTTAATCCTAACACGTTAGACAAACAGAAGGAAAGGCAGAAAGGTTTGCCCAAACAGATCTTTGAATCCGATGAAGCCCCCGATGGTAACAGCTACCAGGATGAACAAGTAATATTCTTTAACTTTGACCATAAAGGCTGTTTTTAACTTGAGCGCTTAAAAACGTACCCATTGCTCATTGGATTATGTATGCTTGACGTTCCACGTCACAGGATGACCTCAAAAGGCGATCCATGTCCATCGACGACACTCCAAGGGGCAGCTGGGCCTGCAGCATCTTTGACTTGAAGAATTCTCTGCCGGACGCCCTGCTCCCCAGCCTGCTCGACCGGACTCCAAACGAAGACATTGACCATCAGAATGACGACCAAAGAAAGGCCAACCGGCACAAGGAGCTTTTTGCGCTGCACCCGGCACCAGATGAGGTACGCGGGTTCACGGATGATGGAGACAAAGCGAGGCCAGCGCCCCTATGCGCTCTGCTGGAGAATGGGCTTCTCACTTGCTCTTGGAACTCATTCTTTGTTCTGGTCTCCTGTGGAGTGCAAGCCTTCTTTCTCACTGACTTTCCCCGGAACAGTGGTTTGCACATTCCTGGGAAGTACTCAGAGAATTCTTGCTTGTTGAATTGACTGGATTAGAAACTTTGGGAATATTAATACAGTGTTTAAACTTTGTGGGACAAAAAGGAGTGTAACTTGCCCCAGTTGCTTAACTTTCAGAGTTAAATTGTTGGAAATGAATGGATTTCTTGTGCCATAGCTCAGGCTTAAGCCAAGCCATGTTGACATTTTAGTGATTTTGAATTGTGCTCAGACTTCTTTGCTGCTCATTATTTAGAAACAGCAACATCTTTTTAGCTGCCCCTACAAACGAAATGAGTATAGCATAATGTCTAACTTGTGGTAGAATAACTTTTGAAAATGTATGCTGCCCTGCTAAATTTTGAAAAGCTTGTTCATTTTTAATTTTGTTGCTCAATTGTAGGAAGACCCCATAGAAAGACTCAGCATTCCTGAAATACCCAAAGAACATTTCGGTCAAAGACTTCTTGTAAAATGCCTATCCCTCAAGTAAGTATTTCTTTCTTTTCCTGTTCGAGTTTATTTTCCACAATGATTTTGCACCGAGATGGCATATTCCTCATCCCTCCTGCCACTTCTGCCCCTTCGCTTTTCCATGTGAAGGTCCATCCCAAGGTCTCCGTTTAGAGGCCAGTATCTGTTACATGTGGCAGGTTATAATAAATGATTTTTGAAGGTTTAAGGTGAAAGTCACTGTTTTGGGGACACATAGTTTTTAAAGTTGCCTCTTCAGGATCTTGCAGGGAATTTTTCTTTGCCTATAGAATATGATTTCACCTTTGTCTTCAGGAGATCAAGTTGATAAACCTTAGGATTTTTAACAGATCTTGCTTTGTTTCTGTCAGAATTAATTATCCTGTCATTTATTTCTTTGAAGAAAGAATATTTAAGAGAAAAGAAGAAAGGTGTTGTAATTAAGAGCATTAAAAAAGCTTCCAGATCTCAGGGACCCATTTGGAATCCACGTCTGTATTCCTTTAAGAGCAGCTGTTTTATACATTTGATGACCTTTCACTGGAAACCTGTTAGGCAGGTGTAATGAGCTGGAGCTTTTGAACAGAGGGCTCCCTGTGCCTGGGTCCTTGCCTGTAACTCTTCTCTAATAACACAGGTGAAAATTTTACTGTTGCTCCCTTAGAGGAATGAAGCTTCTAGCTGCCGTATTCATCTTCTTTATCCCCAGTTAGGCCACCAGCCAGCCAGGTTTTCCTAACAGTATTAGAGATACAGCCTCGTCCATCAGACATTTCATAAGGGGCAAGGGGATGGAGAACATCAGATAAGGTGGAAGCATGACTGAAGACTTGGCGCTCGGCCACGGAGCAGCTCATTATTGGTGCCTTGGGCCGAGGGCTGGGCTTGAGATCAGTAATGTCTGGGTCAAGTCGTGCTTCTGACACCGAAGGGCCAGACCCTGCTGCTCATTCCCCCGCCTGTCGCACCAGACGACTCCAAGGCAGAGGTTATGGGAAGTCACTGTGTGACATTGATTGGGGGGGGGGGTTACTTCCACTGGGGATTCCCTTTACTGACGAAATATCTGGACTGGAAACCACCTTCATCTCAGAAAAAAAAATCAGTAGTTGTCCAGATTTAATTCCACTAATATTTACCCTGGTAAATAAATTCTCCATAGAGTATGTGGAAGACACAGTCAGGGAAAGAGAGAGGGCATAAGCATTTATATAGCGCCTCCTGTGTGCTGAGGGCTTTACAGATATTATCTCATTTGATCTTCCCAACAGTTAGGAGGTAGGTGCTGTTATTATCCCCATTTTACAGCTGAGGACACTGAGGCTGTGAGGTTGGGAGACTTGGCCAGAGACACATTGCCCTGAAGTATCTGAAACAGGCTGGAAGGCAGGTCTTCTGGCACCAGCCAGTGCTCCAGTGCCCTCTCCTCTGTGCTACCGCCCTGCCTTTCCATTCAACTGCTGTGCTTATGTTTAGGAGGAAAGGGCTTTGCGGTTTGTCTTCATATTATGCATTAGTCTTTAATTAACAAATAAGCTTGGTCTCAGACTTCCAGGCCTGGAGGTAAACTTCTGTACTTCTTGCATCTGTTAATTTGTTCGTGTGAGCTCCTCTTCCACCCATGAAGGTTGCAGTCTCTCTGTAGCCTCGTGGGAGATACTTGCTGAGAGTTGCTTTAGCCAAAAACTTATCCAGTCACAGGTACGCTGTCCCATCTTTTACGGGCTGCCTTCCCTAACCCCTCTCAATTCCAGAGCCTTCCTTCTGTTCATTATTTCTGATTCAGGTTGTATATGTTTGTGTGCATGTCATCTCCCCCATTAGGTCATAAGCTCCTTGAGGTCAGGGACTATTTTTTGACTCATTGTATCCCTAGGACTTAGCATTGCCTGGTGCGTAGTCTTCAGTTAGTACACATTCATTGGTTGATTAATGACCCTCTTTAAATTTATTTTGATTCATCTTTAGACAACCATGAAGTCCATCTCCCAAGTGTTAACCTTTCAGGCTCATTAGAGACACGTAGGGTAGAGGAGAAATTGTGTTGGAATTCCTTAATATGGCACCTTCGTCCAGCACAGCCTGGCCTGTGCACAAGGGCACCTCTCTTCTGTCTCTGCTTCAGTGAGATGGAGGGTGGGCAGCATTTTCCATGATGTAAACCTCTTTGTGATGGGATCCACAGAAGCTGCCCTCTGTCAGCTTCTCTTCAAGGCCACCAGCATGTGCCACCACGAGACAGAGACACAGGACTGTTGGTGCGGGGAGGGTTTGCAAGTTTTAACTCCGTCTGTCTCTTGGCATTGGTGATGGCAAAGAACCATCTTTAAGACTGGGTTACAGTGAAACATTTGGACCTTTTGCCTTTTTTTAATTATTATTATTGTTAGTGTTATTTTGTATCAGACCTAAGATTTCACTGGTTCAGGGCCACTCTCTGTGTGGGCATGACATCACTAATGCAGATTAGCAATTTGTGTGAAGTTGAGAGTCTCAGAGAGTGGCGTGGCCAGTCTGAGGCACGTCTGGGAGGGGCTCCTCTGCCACCGGGCCTCCTTTGTCTCTTATCTTTTTGATGGGTAAGGTACCACCTGTGGCAGCTGCCTTCAGATGGCTTACCTGGAGAAAAGAATCAGAACTCATTGATGTTTTATCTGATTGGAGTTGTAGACACTTTGGTAGTTTGTCCCATATCTCTTGATGAGGAGTGTCAAGGAAATGATTTTCTTTGTCCCAGAAGCCGGCCTCCAGCAAAGCCCAGTGTCCATGTGACCCAAGCCTCACCTGACCAGGATTCCTCTCCCAACATCACTGAGAAGTAGCTGTTTAGTCTTGGCTTGGAGAGGGAGCTCTCTGGTCCTGAGGCAGCCTGGTCAGCCCGCTTTGGGATGGCTAGGTTACGAAATCCTCCTTACATCAACCCCAAATCTTCCTCCGTGCTGTCGCCACCCATTTCTCCTAGTTCTGAACTGCAGTTCTGATACTGTTCCATTTGACGGCCCATCAGATATTTGAAGACAGTAATCGTGTTCCCCTCTAAAGCTCTTAATACAGCTAGATATTTTAGGAAGTGATTGGCCATATGTATGAAAAATGCATCAGTTAAAACTTAATGTTCTCTTCTTGTGGGGAATTCACCATATTGTTATTATTTCTTTAGATTTGAAATTGAAATTGAACCCATTTTTGCAAGTTTGGCTTTATATGATGTCAAGGAAAAGAAAAAGGTAAGTTTGCGGAATATGGGAACATTTTTCAGTCACAATCATGTAACTTTAAAAAATTTTCTGAAATCTTATTTTGATATTTTTAGCTATAGTCATAGGCCATAATTTTAAAAAAATGTTTCTAGAATATTATCTTACAAGGCATATGTGAAATGTGTAAATTACCGAGTAATTGATGAGTAAACATTGATCTTTTACCAGCATTTTTCAGAGTGCTTGGCACATAGTAGACACCCAACAAATGGTTTTTGATTGGTCTTGACAAAAAACGTAGAAATGTTAGGCAAGAATGTGAATTCTAACGATTGTTGAGCATTTTTCTGTTTCGAAGCAAACTTGATGGTAGGCTCCAAAGTCATTTAGTGATTTCATTTCCTTGAAAAAAATGTCGAAAGTGAACAATACAGAGAATGAGATATGAATGGCAACGTTCTTGGATGTTGTGATTAATCAAAAAACTTGGTCATAGAGGAAAGGCGTTTGAGGCAAACACTACGAAAGTCATAGTCATCAGACGTTCTCGTTGCTTTCTTCAGCAGCTGAAACGATATTCTTTTCGGGTTTAGAATATTCTGTGTTGGAGAATATGCTTCTTTCATCGTTTTAATAGCTGTGTCTTGTTGCTTTGGGTGCTTATTCCACTGATGTAAACCGGCACCTCTGTACCTTCCCATCCAGTCTGCTTCTTTAGAAAGTAAGTGCTGCGTCACGGCTGCACATACGTGCCCGCTTTTCTAGGGTCAGCTCTGCTTCTTTTAATGTCTCAGGAGGACTAGTGTAGTAACGCACGGATGATCAGAGATTCCCGCTGGGGAAGGACCTTAGAGATCAGATGATGCAGCCTCTTCATTTCGGAGGTGATGAGACCAATGGCCAGAGAGGCTCACACACATAGGTGTAGTCAGGGTGAGAGCTGGCATGGGAGCCCAGGGGCCTGGCTCACAACCCTGGCACTTCTGATGCCTCCAGCTGCACTTTCTGCTAGGTGATGGACTGTCTCCTGTAGTCACGTAGAAGGTCACAGAGGTCCCTTCCAGCACAGCGATTCTGTAATTCCATAACTTCTGTCCTAATCTTGGAGAAGAAGTTTCATTGCCAAAGTTCCATTGTCCTTTGGGTTGTGTGTCATTTTGGTTTTTTTAAGTTTATGGAGATCAGGCATCCCTGAGTGAGAACTGGTGTGAAAGAGAGAGGCTTTTGTAGAACTCAAAGTCTGGATATCAAAGGATATCATGGTTTACTGCTTCATGGATTATTTTCTCTTTCTCTGCTGAGCTTATTGTTCATTGGGCAACACCCATCCTAAATCTGTGGATCTTCCTGGGTATCTGTGATGTGTGTGTATGTGTCTCTGTATCCAGATATCCCTCCATCCATCCACACATGCATATATACCCTACCTTGAGAGACTTCATGTAATTTAGGCAAAATTAGTTTCTCGTTGACTTTGTTTTTATAGTGTGGTGTTTAAACCAGTCTTATTCTCGTTGCTGTGAATTTGTTTTTATGGAATATCATATCCGAGCTCTCTGTTCCTTTATAGAGGTAGCTACTAAATCGTGCGTGATCCTGACTGTGGCTCCTCCGTACTTGAATTCTTTCTTTCTGGCTGCTGGCAGTGTTTTTTCCTTGACCTTGAAATTCTGGATTTTGGCTGTGATTTTCCTGGGAGATTTCATTTGGGGGTTTCTTTCAGGAGGTGATAGAGTGGATTCTATTTCCATATTGCCCTGCTTCTAAGAGATCTGGGCAGTTTTCTTTAAGTGTTCTTGAAATAGGTGTCTGGACTCTTTTTTGGTCATGATGTTCAAATAGTCCAGTGATTCGTAATATTTTTCCCCTTGATCTGTTTTCCAGGTTGTTTTTGCTGCAAAATACTTGATGTTTTCTTTTATTTTTTCCAACCTTTTTGCTTTGTTTTAATATTTTTTGTTGCTTCATGGAGTCATTGACTTCTCTTTGAAACATTCTACTTTTTAGGGAGTTTATTGCTTGGACAAGGTTTTGTACATCTTATGCTGAGCTTTTAATTCACTTTCCAATTCTTTCTTCCATAGCTCTTATTTTTTTTTCTTCAAGGGCTCTCATTTCTTTATAAAAATATTTTAAAACTATTTTAAAAATTAATTTATTTTTAGTTTTCAACAATCACTTCCATAAGCTTTTGAGTTTTAAATTTTCTTCCCTTCTCTCATCGTCTCCCTTCCCAAAACAGTGTGTAATCTGATATAGGCTGTGCATATACATTCCTATTAAACATATTTTCACATTAGTCATGTTGTAAAGAAGAATTAGAACCAATAGGAGGAACCACAAGAAAGAGAAAACAAAACAAAACAGAAGAAAAAAAAAGAGCAAACAGTATGCTTTGATCTGCGTTCAGACTCCATAGTTCTTTCTCTGGATGTGGATAGGATTTTCCACCATGAGTCTTTTAGAGATGCCTTAGATCCTTGTATTACTAAGAAGGGCTAAATCTATCAAAGTTAGTCATCACACAACATGGCTGTTACTGTGTACAACGTTCTCCTGGTTCTGCTCACTTCACCATCAGTCCATGCAAGTCTTCCCAGGTTTTTATGAAGTCTGCCTGCTCATCATTTCTTATAGCCCAATAGTATTCCATTACATTCATGTACCACAACTTGTTCAGCCATTCCACAATTGATGGGCATCCCCTCAATTTCCAATTCTTGGCCACCACAGAAAGAGCTGCTATAAATATTTTTGTACACGTGAGTCCTTTTCCCATTTTTATGATCTCTTTGGGATACAGCCCTGGAAGTGCTATTGCTGGGTCAAAGGAAAGCTATGTTTTAAACTCTGGCTTCACCTCTTGCAGGAATTCCAGTTGAGTTTGTGCCCAGGCTATGTTCTTCTCTGAGCTTTGCTTGTAGAAGCTTTGGAATCATTCTCTTCTTCTGTATTTGTGTCTTGAGCATCCCTGCTACCATAATCCATCATTGCTACCATAAACCATTATTATGGTGGAATTCTTTTTTTTTGTTTGCCCATTCTTCTAGCCTTATTCTTGTCTTTGGGCTGGCTTTGTGCATGTATGGAGGGAAGGTCTGGGCTAGTCCTGTGGCCACTTTCTTGGAGCATTGAGAGTTATGTTACTCCAGAATCTCAGGGATAGGCCAGGGACCTGCAAGCTTTCAGAACTCCCAAAGGGGTCTGATCCAGGACAAAGTCTGATTACTCCACCTGGTCAAACCTCCACAAGGTCTTACCTGGGTTTGGATCTGAACAAGGGCTGATTGTGACCAGACCCTGCCTGTCAGCCCTGGGGAAGCTGTTAGTTCAGAGTGACAGAATTGTAGGCTCCTCTGGTCTGGGATTCCTGTCCTGGTTATCCTCTGCGGGCTGGGCCAGATGCTGGACTTAAGGTACTCTTCTGTACCTTAATCCTGAACCACACCGCTGCAGCTGCTGCTGTTTCCTGATCTTCTTCCTTTCTCAGCACACTGCACGGGGCCTCTTGACAGTTAACATTACTCCCCTCTGTTCAGGTCCCCTTTTTTGCCTGCCCTGGATCTGTGACTTGGGGCTGGGTAATGGGCAACAGAGGGGTCGGCTCCTACCTGTCCCTGTCGGTCTAGGATTTCCTTGGGGCGCTGGAGTACTCTGTGCCCTACGTGCTCCCAGCCCCATCCCATCCCTAGTGTCACAGACCTCCCTGTCTGTGTGCTGAGCTGGACAAAGGACTTAATGGGATTTTTTCTGAATTTCCCTATCAGGATTCAGTCCGATGTATTTTCGAGATCTCTTTGGAGGAGTTTGTAGAGGGGAGCTGCCCCGAGTGCTCCCTACCACTCTGCCATCTTGGCTCTGCCCCTCAGAATTCTTTCATCAGGGTCCTCCGTTCTGGGCTTTGGTTGAAGACTTCTCATGCTGTGACATCTGTGACCTCCTAAGGCAGTCCATTTCACTTTTTAGAGTCCTAAGTATGAGGAAGCTTTCCTTCATTTAGAACTAGAGCTTGTCTTTTTGCCGCTTCCACCCGCTGTTCCTGATTTTGCTCTTCAGAACCAGGCAGAAGCAGTCGAGTGCCTTCTTTTCCATGTGGCAGCCCTCTAAATACTGGAACATGAGTGTCCTCTTAGAGACGCATTCTCTTCTCTGAGCTCAACGTCCCAGGTTCTCTCCATCAGTCTTCACATGTTGTGGCCCCCAGGCCCCTCGTTATCCTGGTTGCCTTCTTCTGGAAGCCCTCCTGCTTAAGATGTGCCTTCCTCAACTGAGCGCACTTTGAAGTGTGGTCTGCCTCGGGCAGCGGCACTACCGCATGCCCTGTTCTAGGTCTGGCTTGATGCGCAGCCTGAAATGGCATCACTCGTGATTTCCGTGTGACCTTTTTGACTCATGCTGGTGTTACGGTTCATGAAAACACCTAGATCTCGTCTGGCGAGCTCTCTAGCTATTCCTTCCTGTGGCGTACTTGGGCCGTTGGTTCTTTGGACCCCAACTGTGTGACTTTGCAGTGATCCCTACTGAATGTTGTTGTGTCTGGAATCTAACAAAAGGGTAAACTGAGGCACCTCTCTGCACAAGGTAACATTTATTAGCAGGGGCATGCTGCCTGTCAGCAAATGGGTCAGTGGCTTGACTCCATTTATGCCAGAGACCCTGAGAAAAAGGACAGTTCCATATATATAGGGTTTGGGGGGGTACAGAAAAAGAAACAGGACAGGGTAGATGACATCATGGGATCGAGGGCAGCGTGACTGGTTACAAAGCTGAGGTGCAGGGAACAATGTTGGTTGAAAGTTTGGTGGGGGCCTACACCCCACCCCCAGCCCGTCTTCTCTCCTGAGACCGCAGAGTGCTCACGGCTTGAGTGCAGGTGTGAGATGGTGGCCCAGACTTCTGGACAGCCAACAGACATCCTTGGAGGATAGCTTGATTAAGATATCAGGCCTGACTCCCTTGCATTCACCCACATTCCCAAGGTCAAACTACTTGAGGCAGGAATAGATCAGTGATTAGCTAGGGGGCTGGTTTTCTAAAATTAGTCTGTTATAGGCCAGCTGAATTCTGAACTAAGCTCAGAGATAAAGAGCCATGATGTAAGCAGTTACAGGACAAAATCAATTACCTGTAAATAGGATCAATAAGAAAAGGATACAGGATCAATCTTAATCTTCCCAATTTCATCTTACTGGATTCAGCCCAGTGGTCAAGCTTATGAAGACCCTTTTGGTCATCCAATGTGTTAACTATTCTCGGAAGTTTATCATCTGCAGATATAATAAGGAAGCCCCTTATCCAGGTCAGTAATAATAACGTGAACTGTTCCAGACCAAAAAGATATCTATCCCTTTGACATTGTATTGAAGCTTTCTTTCCAAGGTGACATTGAACCATTGATGACTCCTTTCGGGGTCTGGTCATCTTGTCCCTCTGTCTTGTTCCCCACCCTCCCCAAAAAGGGAAATACTGTCCATCTACCATCACTTGTCTTTTTTTTCCTTTTTCCTCTTTGAGGTGGTAAGCAGGAACTCATCATGGTCTTTTAATGTTTAAGTATAAATAAAAAATTCATAATGTAGTATTTCAGGGATTTGTGACATAGTTGATTCTCTCACCAATGCAGATCACAACTCCTCTGCTTCTTGAGAGATGGTCATTGTGGGGTGCTTTGACTGGCACATTCATCCTGCTGTGGCCTTCCTAGTGAAATGCCTTCCCTCCTAGGCCGGCTGCCATGACTGTTCTTTAAGAATTGTACTGGTTCGGGCAGCTAGGTGGTACAGGGGATGGAGCACTGGCCCTGGAGTCAGGAGGACCTGAGTTCAAATCCGGCCTCAGACACATAACGCTTACTGCCCATGTGACCCTGGGCAAGTCGCTTAACCCCAAGTGCTTAAACAAACAACAAAAAAAGAATTGTGCTGGTTCTTTGAGCTTGGCTCTTTCTTTCCTGATCTCTTCAGTAGTGCCCTCTTGAGATCCGTCATCATTCAAACTCAGACTCCTTGGCCCAGAGCCTTCCAATTCCACTCTCTGGCCCCTTATGAGAATCTCATCAGAAATGCTTGCCCTTTGCCGAGTCTGTGGTAGCGCTCCCAGGGAGGGGGGCCCGGCAGTGGCGCCCCACAGTGGTTGGTGTGCTGGGTTGCGTGGTTCTAGGCCTGCTGCCCAGATTGCACGCATGCTTGCCTCAGCTGGGGTCGGCCTGTAGGGTCTGCCCTTTTCAGGTCAGAGGTCATTCTCCTCGACGCTGGCAGACCGGGAGTTGAAGTGCCTCTGGTTTGTCTCTGCCATTGGTTGCCCTTACCTGCCCGCCCCAAGCTGGGCCGCGCACCCATTTCCGCCTTCGGGGTGGCCTTTGTATTCCCTGCCAGCCCTGTGCTTCGTAAGGCTGTTTAGTTGGTCAGTGAGTTCCCAGCATATTCGCTAAGAACATCATAGTGTTAGGGAGGAGTGTTTCCTCCCAAGGTAGCCCTTATTTTATTGTTTTAAATCTTTGTTTATGGGAAAGAAATAGGTAAGAGCACACCGGCGACCTCCTGCTTGTGAATGGCGTCTCCCAGGCTGCTTGAGGTCTGTCCAACTGCAGGACTTGTAAATGGTGGTACTTGGCATGTTAAGATTTACCAGGCCTTCTTAGCAAAAAACAGTCACGCGGTTTGGGAGCGTTGATTCTGAAACACAATTCCCTGATTTGTCACATTGAGAAATATGTCTGCTAAACAAATTTGGAACAAGATGCTTGAGAGTACAATAGTAGCCTTTGTGAGGAGTTGAAGATTGCTTTCTTGTCATGGTTTATCCTCTTTGGGCATCAGAAGGTGGGTTGTAGTGTGTTTCATAAAGCATGTTAACAGAGGCTTATAGAATTGCTTCTGTAACCTTTTTGATTGAGCACATGTAGCTTTATTAAATTGATGGCTAAATAAAATAAATTTTAACTGCATTTGAAAAAACAAAAAAATGCTCTCTTTCAGATTTCAGAGAATTTTTACTTTGACCTGAACTCTGAACAAATGAAAGGCATGCTGCGTCCTCACGTGCCCCCCGCGGCGATCACCACGTTGGCAAGATCTGCCATCTTTTCTATCACTTATCCCTCCCAAGATGTATTTCTTGTAATAAAGGTAAGAGTCATACTTTTTTTTTATATATGCTGTCCTTTTTTCTCTGGTCTTGTCTCCCAGGATAGATGTTTTGAAATCCCTTTTGCATTACTTGTTGGGGGGCCTGCCTGTGGCCGTCATTATCCTTGCCTGGGTCTTGTATTCTTCCTAGACTCAAACTTCCATGAAGGGAGGTTTGTGAATTCCATAAGCATTTAATTATTATTCTTATTATCATCATTCTGTTTAGTGATGATAAGAGCAGCTAACATTTATATAGCACCTACTGTATGCCAGCCTTTGTATTAAGTGCTTTACAATGGTTATTTCATTTGATCATCACAATACCTCTGGGAGGTAGGGGCCATTATTATCTCCATTTTACAGTTGAGGAAACTGAGTCAAATAGAGGTTAAGTGACTTACCCAGGAGCACATAGTTAGTATTTGAAGCAGGATTTGAACTCAGATCTTCCTGACTATAGGCTTTGTATCCTATGGCACAAGGCAAACCTCTCCATAGAAAGACAAGCCTAAAATAGTCCTCGCTTTCAAGGGGTGTTTCTACCGTGGGAGGAAACAACACATACATGGAAAACTGAATGCAGAGTGTAGAAAGTCTACAGAAAGTCACCTCGGTGTGTGCTAGCCATGGGTTGGTAAGGGAGGACCTCATACAGGAGGGCACGCAGGGCCTGCGCAGAGGGGTGGATCTGCTGATACTAGAGAGCCTCACAAGGGCCGCCATCCCTGCGAGCTCTCCCCGATGCTTTTACTCTTCTGGCTAGTCTCCTTGAAACATCTGTCTGGCTTTGTGGCCTTCACGCCCTCTCTTCCAGACTGTCTGGAATCCTGCTTTCGCCTTCTCCAAAATCATCCCTTAGTTCTTAATGGCTAAACCCAGAGGCCCTTTCTCAGTCCCCATCCTTTGGAGCACAGGAGGGTCATTGGCTTAGAGTTGAAAGGACCATAAAAGCCCTTGAGCCCAGACCTCTCGTAGGGCCAACAATGAAACTGAAGCCCAGACCAGTGCATGGAGCCATGATTGGAATCTGTGTTCCCTGGAGTCCAGATGTAGCATCCTTTCCCCTGGGTCAAACTCTTGACCTCTTTTTGGTATGAATGAAGAGTAGAAGTTGGCCTTTATTATTATCAAAATCCTCCATTGACTCTTTATTAAAAACAATACCGTTGGGGCAGCTAGGTGGCACAGTGGATAGAGCACCAGCCCTGAAGTCAGGACCTGAGTTCAAATTCGGCCCCAGACCAAACACTTGACACTTACTAGCTGTGTGACCCTGGGCAAGTCACTTAACCCAGTTGCCTGAAAAAAAAATTTTTAAATAAAACGACACCACTACACAGACTTCCAGTGCCAAGATGGCAGAGTGAGGAAGGAACCCTCTGAAGCCCTCTCAGATTCCCCTCCAAACAACTAGAAAAGCACATCACAGTCGGTCTAGGAGCAGCTGAGCAGCCCAGGAGGAGAGGTCCTTCTCACTGGGGTGGGAGGGAAGGGAGGTCCAAGGGAAGCAGCAGCCTTCCCGAGGGAGGGGGCCTGCGGCAGAGCTCTGAGCCTGGGCAGTCCACCAGCAAGGCCCCGCCCTCCTGCAAGCCAGCAGACCCCAGGCAAGTGAGCAGTCTGTGCAGCTCAGCAGGGCCCCACCCCCAGAACAAGCCCACAGTGAGGCCTTGACCCCATTGCTGACCAGCAGTGAAGGCCTGCCCTCACCCCTGTGGCCTACCAGCAGAGAGGCCCTGTTACCATAGCAACTTTGCAGCAAGGCCCCACCTGGGGGAGGGCCCCCTCCCCCCAGCCCAGCACAGGCCAGAAGGGAAGCCTGCCCTCCAGAGAAAGCAAGCGGCTGAGCCCCGAAGCCCAGTGAAAGCCCGCAGTAAGACCCAAAGCCCCAGCACAGTGCAGGACTAGAGCCCAACTCCCATGTGAAAACAGTGTCACCAAAAAAAAGCAGGAAAAAGTGAGCAAAAAAGAGCTCGACTTATAGAAAACTGCTGTGGTGATAGGGAGGATCAAGGCATAAACTTAGAAGAGGACAGTAGTGTCAAAATGCCTACATGTGAAGCCTCGAAGAAAAATGTAATTTGGTCTCAGGCCCAAAAAGAATCCCTGGAAGAGCTTAAAAAGGATTTTAAAAAGCAAATTAGAGAAGTAGAAGAAAAATTGGTAAAAGAAATTAAAGTAATGCAAGAGAATCATGAAAAAAGAGTCAGTAGGTTAGGAAAGGAGACACAACAACTTACCGAGGAAAATAACTCCCTTAAAAACAGAATTGGCCAAATGGAAAAGGAAGTACAAAAGCTCACTAAAGAAAATAATTCCTTAAAAATTAGAATTAAACAAGTGGAAACTAATTACTTTATGAGACATTAAGATATGATAAAAATCAAAACTGAAAAAAAAAAGAAGAAAATGTGAAATTTACCATTGGGAAAACAACTGGCCTAGAAAATAGATTCAGGGGAGATAATTTAAGAATTATTGAATTGCCTGAAAGCCATGATTAAAAAAAAAAAAAGCCTGGACCACATCTTTCAAGAAATTATCAAAGAAAACTGCCCTCATATATTAGAACCAAAGGGCAGAGTAGAAATTAAAAGAATCCACCAATCAGCACCTGAAGGAGATGCCAAAATGAAAACTCCCAGGATTGTCATAGGCAAATTCCAGAGCTTATACATCAAGGAGAAAGTATTGCAAGCAGCCAGAAAGAAGCAATTTAAATATCGTGGAGCTGTAATCAAGATTACACAGGATTTGGAAGCTTGCACATTAAAGAACTGGAGGGCTTGGAGTATAATATTCTGGAAGGCAAAGGAGTTAGGATTACAACTAATAATCAACTACTCAGCAAAACTGAATATAATCTTTTGGGGGGGAGGTGGAGAACATGTCTAATTAAAAGACCAGAGCTGAATAAAAAATTTTACCTCTAAACACAGGACTCAAGGAAAACATAAAAAGGTTTCAAAAAAAAAAACAAGAAAGAGAAAATATAAGAAATTCAATAAGGTTAAACTTTTTATATTTCTGCATGTCAAGATAATGTTTGTAACTCTTAACGATTTTATTACTGTAAGAGCAATTAGAAGGAGTGTATGTAAACAGAGGGTGTGGGTGTAAGGTAACTTCCATGGGATGATACCCCAAGAAACAAAAAGGTGAGAAAGAAAATTGCATTGGAGGAAGGAGGGAGGAGATTGAATGGGGTAAACTATCCCACATAAAAGAGGCATCACAGAGCTGTTATAATGGAGGGGAAGATGTAGCATGGGGTGGGCAAATCTTAAACCTTACTGTCATCAGAATTGGCTTAAAGAGGGAATAGCATACACACTTAGTTGGATATAGAAATCTATCACCTTACAAGGAAGTAAAATGGGACAGAGATAATATAAGAGGGGGGAGCCAGTTAAAAGGGAGGGGATATTGGGGAAGTGGTAATTAGAAGTTAAACACTTGTGAGGAGGGAAAGAATAGGGGGTAAGATGGGCAGGGATAAACAAGCAAAAAATAGCATGGCAGGAAATACACCGTTATCATAACTGTCATGTGAATGGGATGAACTCACTCATAAAGTGAAATTGGATTAGCAGAATGGGTTAATGTGTTGTTGCAGAATCCTATAATGTGTTGTTTGCGAGAAACATATTTGAAGCAGAGATACATACAGGATAGAGATAAAGGGCTGGAGTAGGATCTATTTTGTGTCAGCTGAAGCAAAGAAAGCAGGGACAGCAATCATGATCTCAGACAAAGCAAAAGCAAAAATAGATCTAAAAGAGATAAAGAAGGAAACTATATCTTGCTGAAAGGTACCATATACAACAAAGTCATATCAATACTAAACATATATGCATCAAATGGTATAGCATCCAGATTTTTGCAGGGAGAGTTAAATGAGTTACAGGAGGAAATAGATAATAAAACTATACTAGCGGGAGACCTCAACTTTCCCCTCTCAGAACTAGATAACTCTAACCAAAAAATAAAAGAGAAAGAAGTTAAGGAGGTGAATAAAATTGTGGACAAGTTAGATAGGCTAGATCTCTGGAGAAAAATGAATGGGAATAGAAAAGAATATACTTATTTCTCGGTAGTACATGGCACCTACACAAAAATTGACCATATATTAGGACATAAAAACCTTACAACCAAATGCAGAAAAGCAGAAATAGTAAATGCATCCTTTTTAGATCATAATGCAATAAAAATTACGTTCAATAATGAACAATGGAAAGAGAGATAAAATTAATTGGAAATTAAATATTCTAGTCCTAAAAATAGGCAGGTCAAAGAACAAATCATAAAAACAGTTGATAATTTCATTAAAGAAAATGGTAACAAGAGACAATATACCAAAATTTGTGGGATGGAGCCAAAGCTGTACTTAGGGGAAAATTAATATCTCTAATTGCTTTCCATCAGTAAAATAGAGAAGAAGCAGATCAATGAATTGAGCACGCAACCAAAAAAGGTAGAAAAAGAACAAATCAAATCGTTTGGCTTCATCAGACTGCCAAAAGGGTCCCTGTCCCAAAAAGGTGAAGAAGCATGTCTTTAGATGGCAACAGACTTAAATTTTCTTCAGAATTTTGTTTTACATCACATTTGTTTCTGAATTGTTACTGCTGTATTCCCTTCCTTTCCCAGTAAACCTTTCCTTGTGAAAATGATTTGAAAAGAGGAAAAGAGTGATTTGGGCTCACGGTGTCACCCAGTCCATGAGGTATTTCTTCCACCTGCTTTGTTCTGCCTGCTGTGGTGGAGGAAGGACGCGGTACCTTTTCTCCCTGTTCTCCAGGGGCAGCCTCAGCCGTGGTAATAGCACGGTGGTCAGTTGCTTTTTGTTGTTCTTTCCGTTTTCTGCAGCCATGGCAGAACGTGGTGGTTCTGGCAGCATTGTTAAATCATCGGTTTTGTTGTGAACATAACCTGGCGTCCTGTTTTTCTTTTCTCAGCTGGAAAAAGTTCTACAGCAAGGAGACATTGGAGAGTGTGCGGAGCCGTATATGATTTTCAAAGAAGCAGATGCCACTAAGGTAATCACTCCCTTTCTCTCTTCATTTTTGCTTAAGGAAATAGCATGCTAATTTTAAAATTTTACAGTCTTTCTTTTTAGTAGAAATTCAGACTGGCCCCCTTGCTTCTGTAAAGCCTACTCAAGCCATGGGCTTATAGATCTTGAGCTGGCATCGAGTTCTGACCCTGGTCTTGAACCTCAACTGTAATAACTCTGACAGGTGGTCCCTCAGCCATCTGGGTTACCTTCTGGAGGCATCCTCTTCTCTTCCATTCAGTTCTCTCAGCTTAGGGCCTAAAAACAGTTAGTTATCCCTTCCACATCACCACTTTCTCCATCTCATGCTGGCATAAGAAATTAAGTGGGAATTTTTTGGGAGTTTTGCAGAAACCTCAGATGACACACAAAGGCCAGCAGACGACACAAAAAAAAGGTTTAGAAACTCAGAAACACATCATGTATATATGTGTTTGTGTATGTATGTATGTATAGATACATATTTATACACATGCATATTATTGTATAATATCAACATTTTATCTTTTATTAACATAAATATACACAGTTTCTGTAAAATTAAAATAAATAAAAAGTTAAAGTCTGTGGAAAGAACACAGAAGCCAACAGATGAAACATAAAGGCTAGACATGTTGAGATATTTTAAAAAGCTTAGTAACTGTAATCCATAAAATGTATGATATTGTTAGATAGAATGTTACCTGTACAGTATGTATTTTACTGTTGAATAATTTAAATGAACGCAATTTTTTTTTCTTAAAATTAAATTTGTAGTAAAAGAACCACAGTTCTACCCACTGATTTGGGATACCAAGTGTATTTATGGCACAATTTCATGTGCTGTCTCACAGCAATCCTGCAGTGATCTGTGCATCTCGAGTTTCTTATGTCTTGTGTTGTTTAAACGCTATAAACTCTGTTAAAATATGGGTCCCAAGCATAGCATTCCTAGTGATTTCGGAAGTGTTTCCAAGAAACAGAGAAAAGTGATGAGCTTGAAGGAAAAAGTAGAATTGTTAGATATGCTTCATTCAAGCAAAATGGCAGCTTCAGTTGGGCATCGTTATGGCGTTAATGAGTTGACCTGAAGGCATGTCAAGAAGAAAGAGAAGGAAATCCTAGAAGCCCTCACTGCAGCTACACCAACGGTTTTTGGGTGCAGACTTGTTAGGAAGAAGGCATTCCGTAGACTCTGGCGTCATAGGAGAAGAGGCTAAGTCCTGGTATGATTTCCCAAAGGAAAATGGAGGTGAAGCGTCTGCCCCTACGGATTTTCAGGCCTGCAGAGGCTGGTTTGAAAATTTTTTGAAAAGGTCCAGTCTGCACAGTGTGAAAGTAACGGAAGAGGAAGCGTCCGCTGATCAGTCAAGAGGCAGCTAAGGAGTTTGCTGAAACCCCGAAGAAACTGATTGAAACTGGAGTAGATTCAGTGCTGGCAAGTCTGCCCCAGGTTGGCATAAAAGGCCCCTGAGGACCTGTGGCAGCCGCAAGGGGCGGGCTGGCCCTGCTCTTCTGTGCTGGTGTCTAGGGGCCACAGTAAGCACAGCCCTGATGCATAAAGCTGTGAACCCACGAGCTTTGAAAGGGAAGGGCGAGGGCCTGTCTTTGTGATGTTCAGTAAGAGACCGCGGATGACCCAAGCTCTTTTCCTTGACTGGTTCCATCAGTGTCTTGTGCCCAAGGTTAGAGAAGTCATTGCCAGCAAGGGATTCCTTTTGAAGGTGTTACTGCTTCTGGACGACACCTCGGCCACCCAGAACCCCACGAATTCCACGTCGAAGGTGCTGAAGTCGTCTGCATGCCACCTGACAGATGTCTCTCATTCAGCCTCTTGGTCAGAGGGCGATATGGACATCTGAGGCACACTACACATGCTATTCACTGGTTATTTTTTTTAATCTCTTTTGTTATACATGCGGTATGTTCAGTATTATGCTTCTCAGATTTGCTCCATTTTTTAAAATTTTCTGATTTCATATTTTTAAAATTTCTTTTAGCAGTATCATTGACCTACATATAGCCTATGACTAAATACTTAACCCAAATTTTACAGGAAGGTACTGTAAACAAGCATAAAAGGAAAAGAAAAAAATCAGACTGCTTCTGTGGTACAAAGAGAGGGCCAAAAAATTTTACATGGATTTTGTAGATTGTGGGGATGCTGTGCCTCTGACCCCACTGATGTAAAGGGGATAATTGTAGTGAAAATGGTCATCCTAATGTAACTTAGCCAAATAAAAACCAAAACCGAACAACTCAATAATAAAAAAAAATGTTAAACTAAGAGATAAACCATTGAACCAGTCTTGCTTGTTGGTCTGGCATTTGGAGAAATACTCGACTCGGTGTTATAGTTCAGCTCTGAATTATTTGGACCCATGATAGATATCTCACCTCTGGAACTACTTGTATACTTGTACAGCTGTGCGAGTAATTATTCTCATAATGTAGTTGACTGTAAACCAGATGTGTCCAAGATCCTCTCGCCCCTAGTCTTTTCAAGAAGAAAAGTGTGTTTGGTTTTGGAAGCTTGTCTAACCAAATCTCCATTGCTTTTTCTTCCAATCTCCTACACGTGCTGGGTTATCATCTCTGTGAGGACAAGGGACAGACCCTGATTCACCTTTGCATTCCCCCTGGTGTCTCGAGTGCCCAGTAAAGGTTTATGGAGTCAGTCGGTGCATGAATGAATGAATGCCCTCAGAGGCTGGACGTGTCAGTGGCGGGGAGATGAGAAAAACACCTCGTCCTTGGTATTTGTACCCCTGTGCCGGTGCAGGCTGTGAGGTTGTCAGAGACGCTTGAGTCCCTGTAGTGGGCCGATCTCTGAGCAGGGGACTGTGGCCGGGGCCCGCTCCGCAGGCCTCTGGAGCCGTCGCTCCTGGACTTCTCGCACAGTCATAGAACTCGTCGTCTTCTCTGCTTGCTTTCTCAGAACAAAGAAAAGCTGGAGAAGCTGAGGGGCCAAGCAGACCAGTTTTGTCAAAGGCTGGGGAAGTACCGCATGCCCTTTGCTTGGACAGCAATCCACCTGATGAACATCGTCAGCAGCGCGGGGAGTTTGGAGAGAGACTCCACCGACGTAGAGATCAGTGCCGCAGGTATGGGGGCTGCCCCGATTCTGCCCAGGCGTGCAGCTCTCGCTGCTGCTGGCCTTTGTGGGCCTGGGAGTCTGAGTCTGAGACGGCGAGCCGTGTGACCCTGGGGCTGCTCGGAGGCAAGGCGTCTGCCCGTATTTCAGGTCACGCTGTTAAGACTGGGGGTGCATTCTGACTGAAGAGTTGGCGGCTGCTCATCTCTTTAGCCAGTTCAGAGAGTCTTTCAGCCCAGTAGCGTCACCTCCCCCTGTAGAAGAGGCGTATAAACCTTCATGATAAAGACTTAGGGTGATTGATAGCATTGCTCTGAGATTGTGGTAAACAACAGCAACAGCTCTCTCTTACTTCATCATAGTAATAGTCATGGCTGCCGTCTGGATGGTTCTGTAAGGTCTGTCAGGTGCTCTCAGTACATCACCTCCTTTGATCCTCACTCTCGCCCTGCAGAGGAGGCACTGAACATCTCCATTTCGTAGATGAGGAAACTGAGGTTCTTGTGCTCACACTCTCAGTAAGGGTCAGGGGACTGTTGGTATCTGAGCTTCTCCTTCCCGAGCCCAGTGCACACAGCCTCGCCTCTCGGTCATTCCCGGTGCTTCAGGAGGGCGTTTCTTTAGCAGAAGGACTTGCTTACTCCACGGTTTCTCATTACCTTGAATACGTCTGCATTTAGGGTTAATGACTTAGAACTGGTTTTAATTCACTGGACCTTTTATTTTTTTCCCTTGGTAGAACGCAAAGGATCGTGGTCTGAGAGGAGAAATTCCAGTGTTGTTGGCAGACGATCCCTAGAGAGGACAACAAGTGGAGACGAGGCTTGTAGCCTCACCACCTTTCGACCGGCGACCCTCACTGTGACGAATTTTTTTAAGCAGGTATTTTTGGTCACACACATCCAGAAGTTTGAGAGACAGTGTATGTGCTGTAACTTCCTTGAGTTGAGGCTTCCCAAAGGCTAAACAGACTCTGAGCGTGATTGAGTGCATACAAAAGATGGAGAGAAGGGCAGCTAGGTAGTGCAATGACTAGAGCACTGGCCTTGGAGTTAGGAGGACCTGCGTTCAAATCCAGCCTCAGACATATAACACTAACTGTGTGACCCTGGGCAAGTCACTTAACCTCATTGTCTAGCCAAAAAAAAAAAAAACAACAAAAAACCCCCCCAAAAGATGGAGAGAGAAGAAGAGCGGGAAATAAATGGCGTTAATTCACAGTCATCCGCATGTTGACTTAGGAACCATTTCACTAAACCCAGTAGGGCAGTAGGAAGTCAGAACTTTTCTTTACTCATTTGCATATTCCCTATAAAACAGGTGCTTTCTTTTTTCCAAACAGGAAGGAGACCGCTTAAGTGATGAGGATCTCTATAAGTTTCTGGCTGATATGAGAAGGCCGTCTTCTGTCTTACGGAGATTAAGACCCATCACGGGTATGTGTTGATTTTGGAGAAACAGCATTATAGGCATTTTTGTTTTGTTTCCTAGACATTACAATTGCCATTTTATTTATTCATTTTTCCTGATCGCACAGATGTGCCCTGTATCCTTAGGTGTTCCATATGACTATGATCTTTCACTTTCACTGCATTAAACTTTCAAAGTACATGACTGGAACACGAGGGAGTTGGGAAACTGATGATTTCGTGCTGAAATGGGAAGATAGTTTCACGCAGTGTCTGAAAATAGACTTTTTTACCCCACAGGAAAAAGCAGTATTTTTTCAGTAGATTCCTATAATAATTAAAGACTGTGAGCATGATAATAATTATTACCAGTATTGGCTTGAGTCCGCCATTTCAGAGTGAAATGTTGCTTATTCCTTCCAGAGTCGATGTCAGCTTCTCTACTGAGGCTGCTGAGGGGGCAGATCACGCTAAGAGTCTGGTGCCAATGTGGGATATGGTACCTAATTTTTGAAACATTGAATAGCTTCCTCTAGAGCTCTTGGGACTGGATAGATAGTTTATAAAATCTGAGGGCAGGGCTCATGTCCTAATTATCTTCTCATGTCTCCCAGCTGTTAGTAAATTCTTTGCAAATACTTAACCAATGGTTGTCAAATAGTTGTTGAATTTCTCAAGGACATATTCAGTTTTGGGTTAGTTTGGGTCATAAATCCGGAACATGAAATGAGAAGAATTAGACTGTCACTTATTTTGTTCCCTTTGGAGGTTCTCCGGGTTTCCAGATAAGCAACACTGCACACATTCAGATCACCCCTTTGTCAAAAACAAGCTTAAATACAGATTCTAAACTCTGTTTTCTTTTAGTTGTTATAGTAATCCTTTTGTAATGTGCAGCTCAGCTGAAGATCGACATTTCTCCTGCACCAGAGAATCCCCATTACTGCCTGACCCCCGAATTGCTGCAGGTCAAACTCTATCCTGACAGTAGAGTTAGACCCACTAGGGAAATCCTGGAATTTCCCGCCAGGGATGTGTATGTCCCGAACACTACTTACAGGTAAGAGCTTTTCATCTGGCATCAAGGAAGGGGCATGAAAAGTTAGTTGCCTAAAGTCTCAACCTCAGAGCCTAGCGTGAAGGAGGAGCCAAAGATGTGTGGACTCACAGTGCAGAGAAACTGGCAGTCCCCTCATCCAACCTTCTGGCCCCCTCAGAACCCTGTAACACAGCCTTTAGAAATAATGAAAGAGATCACCTTCATAAAATCTTAATACTAGAAGCAGACATTGAGAGGTCAGGAATTTACGAAATTTTTAAACACCTTTTGTCCAGGTAATTCAGAATCTATTTTTTAATCCATTTAAGCCTTTAAAAATGTCCTATTTCAGGAAATGCTTTCAAATATCTGACCTAAAGATATTGTTTCATGTTTAAATTCATTTCTTTGTGTTCAGTCTTTACCAGATGCGTAAAATGGCTTTTTACTGTCCTTTGTATAATAACTCTTCATATATTGGAAGATCATTCAATCATTCTGCAAATTTTCCTTTGCCAGGTGAAATGACTGTAGCATCTTAACCTTTCTTCGTGAGCCTTTTTTTTTTTTAACCATTTCATCATCTTTTGTCTCTTCTCTGAAACCCCTTATGAATTCTCCTATTACCTCTTGGTAGAAGTTATAGAATTTTAGAGCTAGAAAGGGCAAAGAGATCCTGTAGTCCAGTTTCCTCATTTTATAGAAAAAATTAACTGCATCCCAGAGAGTTACCAAGCTGAGCTCAGTAGATGTTTAATCTAAGGCTTAGACCTGAAACCCCGCTTATCTGGGGCATCGACCCAGTCATTAACCTCTGTTTGCAGCTGGCATTCTGCGCTTTTTTTAGCAGATCGATATTATGTCTGTTTTGTGTTACATTTTCAATTTGTTACCCAAAGGTAATATGTTTCCGAGTATGCTTTTCGTTAACTTTAGCGTTCCATGGGCGCGCATGTATTAGTACTGTTGTTGTTAGTAATTATAAACGTTGGGGCAGGCGGCATAGTGCACAAGGGATCAAGCTCTGAGTCAAGATACCCGTCTGCTTCTCAGTGGAGGCCCTTCAGAGATCCCACTCAGCCTTTGTGTTTATTACTGGAAAAGCTGAGACGTTTAAAAAATGCTCTTGAGACGTTGTCCTTAAATGGTGAGAATAGTATGAACAATGAGAACAGAATAATTACTGTTATTTTCAAATGAATAGTTTCAGAGCTCTTGTTAACCCATGAAGACAGAAGATTCCAAAGGGAAATAGGTTGCCTTTTAAATAAGTAATATGTCTTAATTCATTCTGACTGTATATAAAACATATGGATTATTTAGTCTACTATGCGGAAGTTCTGTTCTCTTATTACTGATTAAAAAACAACGTCATTTGACTAAGTATAATTTTTGCCAAGATTAGGTGTTAACACATTTAAGTAATGTTTATTGGAATAGAAATAACATTCAGAATTAAGGTTCCTTTTTTAGATTGATATTGGAGTGGAAATGTTATTGATAATTGGCCTCCTTTACCTTTCTGGTTGTCATATCGTATCACGTCACCGCGGTACTCAGCGTGCTAAAAACGTCCGACAGCGATGGTGACATGCTACGCAGTGACAGCCAGAAAGGCAGATGAGGCCAGGTATCAATAACATTTCCACTCCCATGAGGCATAAGCCCTATTGATCTAAGTGTGGCTGATCAGATGGGATGGCTCAAGAATCCGTGTGTGTGTGAATGGTCCGTCCATAGGGGCTCTGTGCCCTGCTTTCATTGAAGGGTTGGAACGATCCATGTAGCAACATGGTTGGGATATTTTGGATTTTCATTTTCATTGGTTTGACACACTTGACGTGAATACATGCCATGAGGAAGTTTACTTGTTAGATCAGTACCTTGGGGTACCATTATGTTTCATCCTGTACTGTATCATTCAAGGTCTGCACAGTTCTGCAAACAAACTATGCAGCTCTAGGAATAGATTTATGGAAGTTGAGCATGAGACTAGGCCTTGAAAGGTCAGCCAGACTATCCCACTGTACTCTGCAATGACTGCCTCTAAATTGCCCTGCTAATTACAGACCCTGACATTCATCCCAAGCATTAAATAATGAGTGTAATAGAGGAGCCAAAATTTTTTTCTTAGGTTCATTAAAAATCTCACGGAAGGGTTCATTCTTCTCCCATGAGTGAGCAGTTTATTCCCAGAGAATAGCAACCCCATCTATGCTCATCAATAAGATTAGGCGTATTCCTTTTAAACATTTATTGAGCACGACCCATGCCACAGACTTTAATCGTTTTCATCAGGGTAAATTGGTTTCAGGTTAAAATTGTGCCTAACCATATTCCTTCTTGTATTTTGTGCAGCCCTATAAAAAATTCTTCTGTAAAATGCTTATAACCTGTTAACAAACCTTACCATTGATAAATTGTGGTATGTGATGTGAAGGCTATTAAGTTTCATATTTTATGGTGATGATCGTGCTGCTGCTACATGAGTAATATGTTACCAGAGAGAGCTGTTGAAGCAAGGAGGATACATTATTTTGTTCCAGAAAGAGATTAATTAGTTTCTAGATGAAGGGTGTCCTCGAGGAAGTGAACAAAGTTTGGAAAATGGTGGTATGAAGCGAGGTTAGTTAGACTCATTCTCCTTAGTGACCCTTTTTCCCTACTGCTGCATTTTCTAGAAAATAAGTCATATTCTTACTCAAAGACATAAGGAAGAGGAAGATGTCACTCAGATTTTTTTAATTAAAATCTACCTCAAGTTTCATTGGAAATATATATATCTGAAAATACCATGTAACTGGAAATTAGGTACTGGAGGTAGTATGTTAAATTTTGGAATGTAGGGGCACGTGACCAAGATTTGATAGCCCGTTTTATTACAAGTTAATGAATAACTGGAAAAACATTTATTAAGAGCTTGCTCTGTGCCAAGCACTGTTTTAGATACTGGGAATATAAATGTAAGTAAGCCAGTCAGTCTCTGCTCTCAAGCAGCTTATAATCTGATGAGGAAACACAACAAATGCAGGGGAAGACAGGAGAGGAGAAGAGCTTGGGTAGGATGTCAGGGGCCGGATCCTTGGAATTGAGGCAGCTGAGTGACCTGTTCTTGCCTGGAATGGTGGTTTGGAGTTGTTCTTAGCACTAGAATTGGACAGTAGGGGAGGGAGAAGAAGGTGTAGTCTGAAGGTGGTGCAGGAAGTGGCACAGTTGGTCTGACTGGGAAGGAAGAAGCTAGCAAGACAAGGCACCCTGTGGGAGTGACAACATGTAGTCTGTGCCAGGCAAGTCAAGCCACCATGACTCCCTGGACCACCACCTTCTCCAGACACCTCAAGCCCAAGAACTGCAGTTCTTAGCAGGGACTCCCCAAGACCTCAGCCCTACTTCTGCCCCAGGCCGTGTAGCTACCATCAAGGGGAGCAATCTCTGTGAAGAAAGGGCCCGTTTTTCTTGTCACTACCATCACCAGCATCTCACCACTGCCACTGGTGGTAAGTTTGAGAGCCGATGGGGTGTCAGCATCCCCTCCCACCCCTCTGCTTCCAGCCCAGCCCTCCCATCCATCACCCTGGAAATAACCTCGGTGGAGATGCATGGCAGTTGCTTTGATCAGTGTTATAGCCATAGCTACTGAAGACCCAGCCAAGACAGTGCTTCCCATCAAAGCCTTTGGCACTGTCAGATGGTTCCAAATGATACGATTTTATGAGTGGAAATGACATTAAAAAAAAAAGATGTTACCACCTGCTTGGCTTCTGCACCTAAAGGACCGTGGCACTTTCCATCTGATGCCATTGTCTGTTTGTATATTTGTATTCTATTTTTCCCCAAAGAGGAAAGGGAGTGAGGTTCCACCAACTACGTCTTACCCTAATGGCTCCTGTTGCAGCACCTGAGTGGCAGAGTGTTTGAGAGAAGCCAATCTCCCCCACCCATCCGTCTCTTTAAAGAGGATGCTTCCCGGTTACCATATTTTACCATGACTTACTCTAATCTGATTGTAGCTAGTTACTGATATGGTACAAGAAGAACGGTTTTGATGAACAACAGAAAGGAGAGAATTAATTTTTCAACATAGAGCAATTTTAAGATTAAAAAAGTGACATTCAAGAAAATTCCCAGTAATTTATAGGAAAAAATAACTAGGATGAAGTTTGGAACCAATACCTCTATTTTTAATGCATATGTTACAGTAGGCAGAGGGAAAGGCAGTGGACAGAATGTAGCTGAAGCTGTTGCACACTAGTAGCGAGCATTTGTGTAAAGCTTTAAGGTTTGCAGCTTCCTATGTGTCGACCCGTTTTTCTGCACATGATAGCCCATGACATAGGTGCTGTTATCGGCAAAGCAGGCAAACTTGGTGTCATAGATTTTACCGTGGTTTATTGAGGTGGAACCCAGGACCATAGCTGTGCAGTGGAAAGGTATAGTTTGTTCAGTGAAACAAGTCTGATCGAGGGGATGGTAGACAGGTCTTCTCTCCGTGGACTTCAGGATAGGGGCATGGTGGTAGAGAGCAGTTAGGAGTGAATTCATGCCGGGTGTGATCTGCTGTAGAGCCCACTGGGATCTGGTGCGTGGAGCTGATGCTTTCTTAATTGAAACTCCACACCCAGAGCCCAGGTGTACTTGTGATGGACGTTGTGACTGTCAGCTATCCAGACAACAAATGGAAGACTTATTCCTTTGAGAGCCAAGAATTGAATGTTCTTGACAGTTTTCTTCTGTTGGAAGGTGGAGGGCTTAATTCTGACCACTGAGAAGAAGCTGATTGCTAAGTTGGAAGTGGTAAGAACTGTGGGCAAGTGTAACCATGTGATGTTATCACTTGTAACGTCCAAGGAGGGGAATGCTGAGCAGAGTCAGAAATGGAGTGTAGGAAAAATAGATTTCATAACATTTCAGAAAGAAGTGACTAGTCCACGGTCCCTCAGCACCCTGGTAGGAAGTATCAGGAGAGACATGAGACCTCTGGTGATCCTGTACATGGTAAAGAGTGTGAGTAAAGGCACAGAGAGTAGACCGGTTTGGCCGTGACATAGAGCATGCAAGCGGTGTGATCTAAAGTAATGCTTGTGGGGAGAGGACCTTCACTGTGAGACAGAGGAGCTCACACTGACTCAGCAGTCAGGAGGACTGCTGAAGCTTTTTGAGTGGGGCAGTGACCATGATAAGGGCAAGTCTGGTGCAGAAATAAGGATGGATTAGAGTTTGGAGACAGTGGAATCAGGAAGAAGAGGAAGGACATCCAGGAAGTGACTGTGATTTAGCCTCAGAAAACCCAGCTTAACCTCCCCCTCAGACTTACTAACTGTGACCTTGGGCAGAGCTCCTGTGTTCCCCTTTGAGATCACCTTCCACTTGCTCGTGTACGGACCAGAATATTTCCATGTTCTCTCCACCATTAGAATGTGAACTCCTAGAGAGCCGAGGCTGCCTTGACCTTTCTTTGGATCCTTAGTGTTTAGTGCAGTGCAGAGCAGTGCACATAGTAGGTGCTTAATAATGCTTTTTTGGTTGGTTGGAAAAGATGAGCTGGTCACGTAACAGGAGGGAAGGCTAGAATGATGCAAGAAGATCATGAAAAAAGTAAGAATCTTGAGAAAGGAGGCACCAGAAATACTGAAGAAAATAACACCTTGAAAAATAATTGGCCAAATGGAAAAAGAGGCACAAAAATTCACTGAAGAGAAGAGCTCCTTAGAAAGCAAAATTGACCACTTAGAAAAAAAGATGTGCGAGAATTCACTGAAGAAAAGAACTCTTTAAAAAGTAGAATGGGCCAAATGGAAGAGGAAGTACAAAACCTCACTGAAGAGAATGATTTCTTAAAAATTATAATTGGGCAAGTGGAAGCCAAAGAAACAATAAAACAAAATCAAAACAATGAAAAAAGTAGGAGAAGATGTGAACTATCTCACTGGAAAAACAACTGACCTGGAAAATAGGTTGAGGAGAGATAATGTAAGAATTATTGGACTACCTGAAAGCCATGATCAGAAAAAGAGCCTAGACATCATCTTTTAAGAAATTATCAAGGAAAATTTCCCTGATATTCTAGAACCAGAGGGTAAAATAGGAATTTTAAAAAATCCACTGATCACCTCTTGAAAGAGATTCCCAGATGAAAACTCCCAGGAATATTATAGCCAAATTCAAGAGCTCCCAGGTCAAGGAGAAAATATTGCAAGCAGCCAGAAATAAAGAATTCATATATCATGGAGCCACAGTCAGGATAACACAAGATTTAGCAGTTTCTACATTAAAGTAGTGGGAGGCCTGAAATATGATATTCCAGAGGGCAAAGGAGCTAGGATTACAGCCAAGAATCACCTACCCAGAAAGACTGAGTGTAATCCTTCAGGGGAAAAAATGGTCATTCAGTGAAATAGAGGATTTTCAAGCATTCTTGATGAAAAGACCAGAGTTGAATAGAAAATTTGACTTTCAAATACAAGACTTAAGAGAAACATAAAAAGGTAAACAGCAAAGAGAAATCGTAAGAGATTTAATATGGTTAAACTATTTACATTCTAACGTGGGAAGATGATACTTACAATGCCTAAGAACTTTTTTAGTATTAGAGCAATTAGAAAGTATATATAGATAGTGGGCACAGATGAGAGTTGAATATCATGGGATGATATATAAAAAAATAAGATTAATGGGTGAGAAAGAGGAATGCACTGGGAGAAGAGGAAAGGGAGGGGTAGAATGGGGTAGGATATCTCACATAGAAGAGATGCAAAATAACTTTTATAGTGGAGGGGAAGATGGAGAACTTTGTTTTCATTGGAATTGGCTCAAAAAGGGAATAACTCAGTTGCATATAGAAATCTGTTTTGCTCTACAGGAAAATTGGAAGGGACAGGCGTTAGAAAAGGAGGAGATGGCTGATAGAAGGGAGGATGGATTGGGGAAGGTTGTAGTCAGAAGAAAAACATTTTTGAGTATGGACATGGTTAAAGGAGAGAGTGACTAGGATAAACAGATGGAGGGAAATACACAGTAATCGTAACTGAAAAAAAAAAGTACAGCAAGTTTTTCTGATAAAGCCTTCATTTCTAAATAAATAAAAAGTGAGTCAAATTTGCAAGAATGCAAGGCATTCAAAGGATAGGAACAGGCAGTTTTCAGATAAAGTAATCAAAGCTATTTATAGTCATATGAAAAAATGCTCTAAATCACTATTGAGGAATCACTATTAAGGAATGCAAATTAAAACAACTCTGAGGCACCACTCCGCCTGTCAGATTGGTTAATAAGACAGACAAGGAAAATGGCAAATGTTGGAGAAGATCTAGGGAAAACTGGAACACTAATGCTTTGTTGGTGGGGCTGTGAACTGATCCAGCCATTCTAGAGAGTGATTTAGAACTATACCCATAGGGCTATAAATCTGTGCATACCCTTTGACCCATAAATACCGCTACTAGGTCTGTATCCCAAAGAAATTAAGAAAAAAAAGAAATGTTTGATTCTGGAGGCAGTTGGGAGCCACTGGAATTTATTGAGTAGGGGGTGCCATGGCCAGACTTGTACTTTAGAAAGTCACTTTGGTGGCAGAATGAAGGATGGATTCGACTGAGGACAGCCTGGAGGCAGGTGACCCCCCAGCAGCGATTGCAGTAATGTAAGCGTGAGATGAAGACGGTCTGCATCAGGGTGGGGGCAGCGAGAAGGGGGTAGATTTGAGATGTTATGCATGTGAAATCAAGAAGCCGTGGCAACGTCTCAGGTCTGGGGACTGAGAGACGGTGAAGAATCCAGGATGCCTCCTACATGGTGAGCCTGAGGGGCTGGGAGGAGAGGGGAAGGGTTTAAGGGAGAGGTCAGGAGCTCAGTTTTGGACATTGAGTTTAAGATATTTACCGGGCATCTAGGTCAAGGTGTCTGAAAGGCAGATGGGGAGATGTAAAATTAGAGTTATTGTCCGAGGTCACATTTGAATTCAGATCTTCCTCACTCCCGGTCCCACACTCAAACTATTGTGTCACCTGGCTAGCTGTTTCTCTATTTTGGGAGTACTTATTTGTAGTATAAACAGAAAAAAAATCAATAAATAAATTAATAAATTACAAATCTTTGTATTATTTTGAATTTTGAAAAGGCAGTATAAAGATCCTTATTTAGTTATGAAAGAAGCCTTTTTCTTTATTTTTTAAAAAAATAATTTGTTGCAAAATGGTTCTATTTTTGTGGGATCCGTTAAAGCAGCCCTGGACTCCTGGTTAAGTGATGATCAAATAAGAGCCTTATTGCCTCTAAAAAACGTCTGGCTTTGTGGTTTCCTCCTGCAAAGCCCCATAGAGAGCTCAGCTCACTTACTGGTGACTGGCTTCATTCATTTCTATCCTTGCCTGTGTAGTTTAGCGATCTCTCTGGCCTCAGTGTTTGAGCCACTAGGCATGGCCTTAGAGGACTCATTTGCCTAGACTTCTTTATCTTTGGGCCAACATCTTCATGAATGGGGGGTGAGTAGTTATGAGGCCCACCCCTTTTAGTGAAGGCAACAACATTCAGCGTTTAAGAGAGATTCTTTAGGCATGTTATAGTCGTTTTAGACATAGACTTTTTATTTATTGAACTGCGAAGTATACATACGGGCCTATCAGGCTTCCTGCTTCAGTTCAAGTCATTTACTCATTTCTTTCTCAGAATTTTGATTGTTCTTTTTTACTTGGAAATTTCCAACAGCATCTTTTGTTTTCCTTGTTGTAGGGACTGAGATCCCTGTTACCTTGTTTTTGCTGTAGTGCTTATATTGATTCTTCTGCTATACTCTGACAGGATCATTTTTTAAAGTATTTTTACAGGTGCCAGGGCTAAAACACTGTAAAATTAATACACTCCTACAAAGTACAAAAGACTCATTAATAAGATACAGTGCTATAAAATAGAAAAGTCAATATGACTTAATAATGATGACCAACTGCATTTACTCAACGAGCATGAGCCAATTTAAATACAGTAATTTATCCTGCTTCTTTTGGTTTCATAAATAAAGTATAAAAACATGTGACACGAATTTTTCTCCGGCGAGGTATAATATAAATTTTAAGTTTTACATTATGGATTTTCATAGGTACTGTTGAACAGATTGAGTTCAAGTTTTAAATTAATAATATGACAATACTTCACGAATATAGAAGCATCTGACCTTCACATTTATTCATGTTTATATTTTTTAAGAACTTGGTGAAACTGTGAAATCAGACTGCATTATGAATATAAAAACAAAATTCTTTTTGTAAGTTTCCAGTTAATAGGGTGATCCTTAAATGGAAAATAAAAGTGCCCTTGCCATAGCGTTCAAGGTTGTTTAAAAAAGTCCATGTAAAATTGATTACAACATCATGAAATATTTGCACATTCAATGTCAGAAGGCATCTGACTGAGAAAGGTAAAGTTCACGAGGTGGTATGATGACAGTTTTGACCTTGAAATAAATTTATAATCGTTTTAAACTCCAGATGAATTCTTATTAAAGAAAAGAAAAAGGTATGTGAGGTTGCCCTAGCAAACACCCTAGAACATCGGTTGGCCCTTAATGCCTTTTGAAGGTCTTTCTTGCTGATTATTAAACCACAGTAACTTGGGTTGAGTTTAATGTTCAGTTTATTGGTTTTTGGAAGCTTGCCTGTGCTCATTCAAAGCTTTCCAGGTCTGTTGGGTGGATTAACATTTTGGTTGTCTTGAGGGCATAGAGCCTTCCTTTGGGAGACTTCCAGTACAGGCCTCTTCTCCGCTCTGGCCTGCCCTTCGATCGCGCCTTGCTGTATTTGCCATTCAGGTTGGTTTCTCCACATACGTTGTCCCACCACCAGCCGCCTAGGGAAGATAGACTGCATGAACCTCAAAGTACATTTTCCTCTACTGCCCTGTCTCCTGTCCCCAGCTCCCCTCGTTGGCTTGGAGCACGGAGCGGCCCTCAGCCGTGCCGGCCAGCCTCTCTGCTTCGTGCAGGCTGGCTCCTATTCTTGGCCTTCCCAGACCTCAGCGGCCCAGAAGCCTGCTTACTCTTGGGCCACATTTAGGCCTTAGGAACAGGCCTGTGGCGGCTCGAGGGGATGAAGAAGGCCTTTGTGTCATTCTAGCTAGGTCATGGTTAGGCCTTGGATTTTAGCTACATGTTCCATTGTAGTTCAAATGCAGGTGATACTCTCAGAGTAGTTCATTGGGGCAGAAAAGGTAAGGTAACCTTCTAGAGTATATGCAAAGGTAATCCTGCTCAGGACCGGAATTTGTCATCCCGAGTAATGTCTGAACCCCATCCTGGTTGGTGCTGCCTTTATTTCTCTACGTTCATCTCTTCTAGATGCTGTGACCAAGTTTCCCTAGGGAGTGCACTTTTATTTTCTCTAAATAAGATCCTGTTTCAAATGTGTTTAAGAACTTGAATATGCTGGTAAACATTATGTATTTCACCAAATATGCTAAAGGAGAATTCCAGGGGCTTTAAAAAAGGCAAAGCTTTAAAAAAGGCAAAACTCCTAGGTCTGCTTGTACCAAATGAACTTCTTTTTTCATGATAGTTGCAAGATTTTGTTGATAAGTAAAATTGACCCTAATTCTTTAAGTTTTTTTTCATGTAAGCAGTACTTGGGTGTTATTTTTATTCAGTTGCTTAGCATAGTATTTCTCACATATGCAAATAAAATATTAATATTAGTCTAAACAAGAGTACCTGAGTAGCTTTCTGGGCAGTTCAAATAGTTCTTTGCATTATGATCCCAAGTCGAAAAAGCAAGGTCTTTGTGTTCAGGGATTGCATTGGGAATGTTGCCTAGAATCTCTGACAGGTGCAGAGTGTAGTCTGTTTCTTTACTCCCCAGGCTGAACGAATATTCAATGTAACGCTTGTTGTCTTTCCAGTCTTCCAGCTCAATTCGTAAAATGTAATCAGATTGGTTAACAATGGAGTAGATCTTCTCTAGGCCCAGCCAAAACTCTCCTGCAAAGAAAAGTGTCATGAATCTGTAAATGTGAATCGCAGGTGGGGCACAGTTATTTAAAAGGGTTTGATCTGTTGATTTAATTAAATCAGTATTATTAATATGCTGATCATTTTAGATGGTCTCTGAAGTATTCCTCCTTGTTTACTTTCATGAGGAGTAAAACAGAGATTGGAATAAGAATGTGACATCTTACGTTTTGGGAAAAATTAAAATCTGCAAGTTGAGTTGAAGGCTTAATTTTTAAAAGGGACAGCATACGACTGACATATGTGAACCTTGTTAGGTGTTTCCTTTCGTAGAAAACTGTTTAGGTCACTATATTAGATCATTTCATTTCCAAATCTCCAAAATCATTATGGAATACAATTACATATGACATTGAGTTATTTATTAAGAGATATTTAATATTTCAAACACCACCAGAAGGTTTGGGGTTTTTTTAACTCAGCAGCAATATAAATTGGTTTCTAAATGCCTTAAATTGAAACCATTGTTATCTCTTCAAATGTAGATGTGGTCTTTTCTTTCTGCCTGATGTCTTCTAAAATGATACATTTTGTCTAGTCGAAACTCGATATGTAAATACGTTTTTATACTCTTTTAAAAAGTTCCCAAACCTTCCTGTTCCTTCAGTTGGCACGAGGATAAATCCAGACATTTGTCCTTGAAAATGCGCTTTTCACATATGTAATCGAGTCTCTAGTTAGAGGTTTGGTCCATGTAATTTTGAGGGTAAACAGCATTTGATGAGGGAGGGAGGAAAGGCCATGACTCTCTGTGATTGCTGACTGGTTTCTTTATGCATGAGCCTCAGGAGAGAAAGGCTGTGATTTAAGGATAACAAGCCTGCAGGTGCTGAATATTTGTTTTTGACATGACAGGGGGTGCAATAGCCTTTACAGGCTGTGCTCCATTCCCAGAGTTCCACCAACTTAGCCACTAGTGTCTTAAACGAGATCTAGGACCTCCAAGACCGTCTAGTCTGGCTCCTTCCTTTTAGAGACGTGGAGACTGGGGCCCACTGAGGTGAAGTGATTTTCCGAAGGTCACCCACTCGTGAGCGTCAGAGGTAGGATTAGAACTCAGGTCCTGTGCTTCTAGAGCCAGGATTTTTTTGGTTTTCCTCCCCTGTCTATCATGCAGACACCTTAGGAGTGGACTTGATGAGATTAGGTAATCAGTGGGGAATCATATTAATAATCACCATTTTAAATTATAAATAGGATATTTTGGGGAAAGATTCATTTTAGGACAAGGGTAGTTGACAACGTATCAAATCTGGCATTTTTAAAAAGGAAGTTTAAATTGCAATGGATTTTTTTTTATAATTTCATTCAAGCGATGAAAGATGGAGTCTGTAAAGTCCTTGGTCATCAGTAACAGGCATAGTATTTGTTTATATCTCAAATAGATGCTTCTGATAAATTTATTTACCGTCAACCAGCACTCTCTATCACAGATTTTAATCCTTAAATACATTATTGGACTTTCTGTGTTCTGTGTTAACATATGGGAAGAGATGTTTGTGGTGCAGTGGATTGATATCTGGCCCCGGGTCTGTAGGCTTGGCTCGGTGCCACATTCTGACCCATCCATTGTGTGTGATGCTGCCTGAGCTGGCCTCTCAGCTCTGTAGGCCAGTGGTTCTCCAGGTGGGGTCCTTTCAGAGAGTCCTTGAGGTCAGAACTGTTTTCAAAGGTATATGACAGTGTGATTCACCTGAGGAAGTAGTCTCACTTTTTCCACCTGTATATCCATGTGAGGCTGGATTCTTTGTTGACTTCAACCAAAACATACTATTGGAACAGATTGAGTTTGGCAGAATCCAGCAGTTTTCTACTATAGACACTGAAAAGATTTGCAAAAAGATGTAAAACAATGCTGTTCTTCTTACTAAATGTTTGGGTTTTTAAAAAAAAAATTTGCCTCCCAGGAAAGAGATATCATAAGAGACTTATTAAGGTTGAACTATTTACATTCCTGCATGGAAAGATAATATTTATAACTCATGAGACCTTTGTCAGTATTAGGGTAGTTGGAGGGAAAAAATTGTATGTATGTAGATAGATAGATAGATAGATAGATAGATAGAGGGCACAGGGTAAGTTGAAGATTAAGGGGTAATATCTGGAGAATAAAATTAAGGGAGAGAAGAAAGGGAGAGGTAGAATGGGGCAAATTACCTCACAAAAAGAAAAGAAAAGAAAAGAAAAAGGTCTTACAGTGGAGAAGAAATGGGGGAAGGTAAGAGGGAATGAGTGAATCTTATTCTCATAGGATTTGGCTTAATGAGGGAATAACATACACATTCAATTGGGTATGGAAATCTGTCTTACCCTACAGGAAAATAGGGGGGAGAAGGGGTCAAGAGAGCAGGGAGATGATACAGAGGAGGGCAGATTAGGAAAGGGGGTAATCAGAAGCAAACACTTCTGAGGAGGGACAGGGTCAAAAGAAAGAATAGAATAAATGGGAGGGCAGGATAGGATTAAGGGAGATAGAGTTAGTTTTTCACAACATGTCTACTGTGGAAGTGTTTTGCATAACTGCACATGTATGACCTATATTGAGTTGCTTGCCTTTTCAGTGAGGATGGGTGGGGAAGGAGGGAGGGAGAAAATTTGGAACCCAAAGTTTTTAAAACATATGTTTTTAAAAAAATGTTTTCACATGCAACTGGGAAATAAGAAATACAGGAGATGGGGTACAGAAGTTTATCCTGCCCTACAGGAAAATAGAAGGGGAAGGGAATAAGGGGGGGGGGGATAGAAGAAAGGGCAGACTAGGGGAAGGGGTATTCAGAATGCATGCCATCTTGGGGTGGGGGGAGGGGTGAGATGGGGTGAAAATTTGGAACTCAAAATCTTGTGGAAATAAATATTGAAAACTAAAACTAAATAAATTTATATTAAAAAAATTTACCTCCTATAAAAATATACTATTTATATTACCATGTGACTTGTTTTTGTTATTTTTAAATGAATTAATATATTTCAAAAATTGATCAGTATTAATTCCAACATGGTAGATATTGACATGTAACCCACAGAAATAGATGCTCTTGGAAGGGGTCCTCAGTTTTTAAGAGTATAGGGAACTTGAGATCCCAAAAGTTTGAGAACTGTTGCTGTCATTAAGCTCTGAGATCATAAGCTCCAGTGAAGGGGTGTCCTGATCTGAGAACTCGTTACTCGCCAGTAAAGTCCCGCTTCGAAGCCCATTACTATTGATCTGAACACACACATTCCAGGGGTCTGACATGCCCCAAGAACTCTTTTTTCTCTTTCCAGTTCTGGGTGTTAAGAAGGAAGTCGGGTGACCTTACCATCAAGACTCCCAAAACCATGCTGATAGTTCTCCCAGGTTTCGTTGAAGTTTTGTGATCCATCCATGCGGTGTTGAATTACTGTCCATGAGCTGCCTGAGAAGGATGAAACAATATTTTCAGTGACTTATAGTGATTTGTTTTAATGCTGACAAGCAGAGGACACGTGCAGAAATAGTTATTTTTATGATCAGTTGCGATGTATGACAGTTTGTAAATGCTCTGTGCTGTTTCTCTGGTGGGTGGTCCGGTGAATAGAGCACTGGGCCTGGAGTCAGGAAGACTAGAGTTCAAGTCTGGCCTCAGAGACTTATCAGCTGTGTGATCCTGGCCAAGTCATTTAGCCTCTGATTGTCTCAGTTTCCTCAATGGTAAAATGGGGATGATAATAGCATCTGCTTCCCAGGGTTGGTGTGAGGTTCAAATGAGATACTAATTGTCAAGTGCTTACCACAGTGCCTGGCACATAGCAGGTCATTATAAAAATGCCTTCCCCCTTCCTCATTGTGAATTATAGAAATCTAGAAAAGTTGAACAAAGCACCTGAAAAACTCTCTAATCACATCATACTCTACTCATTTTGATCTGATACATTTTAATGAGGATGTGTTTGACATATATTGGTATTTCCATTTGATTCATTAAGCATTTATTAACGGCTCACTCTGTGGCCACCATTGTGCTTGTTGCTGGGGTACAGAGATTGAGATGAGGGGACCCCTGCACCCCTGCTCACTGACAAGCCTCTCATTCTGGAGTGCCAAAGACATAAACAGAGTTTTCTAAAGACGTCCGAGCTATCAAGAGCCATCTAAAAACGCTTTGAGTCATGAATAATTAGAAAAATTTAAATGAAAGCAGTTCTTAGGTCCCACCTCCTACCCATCCAATGAGCAAAGCTGACCGAAAAAGGAAATGGTGAATGTTGAAGGGTCTGCAGAAAGCCAGGTGCCAAGTAATGCCCAGTCTGGGCAGCTGGCCTGGCTCCTTGAAGAGCAGTTTGGCACGAGGCCCACAGAGTTACCCAGCTGGCACACTTGGGACCTGCCAGAGCACTCCAGGACCTGGGTGCCGAGGAGGTGAATACCAAAGGAAACAGACCCTGTGCGCAGAAGTCACTGTAGTGACTCAAGAGCTGGAAATCCAGGAGTGGCTATCAGCGAGAGAGTGGTTGAACCAGAAAGGGACTCCAGATGGGATAGAACGCTTTGTGTGTGTGGTAGACCTGCTGAAGGAGATGTTTCAGAGGAGCCTGGGAAGACTTGTGTGAACTGACTGATGCGCAGTGAAGTGAGCAGAGCCCGGAGGAGCATTTCTACAGGAAGAGCAGCTCTGTACAGACAAAGAACTTTGACAGCTCTGAGGCCTCTGGCCAGTGCAGTGACTGCCTGTGATTCCAGAGTACCGCAAATGAAGCGCGAGGAGATTGATTCACGCTGCAGAGGGAGACCTAGAGGTTCTAGTATGGGGCCATGTGCCAATTTGTTTGGCTGTCCTATTTTTTTGTTACAAGGATTTTGTCTTTTTTTTTTTTAAATGATGTGGGTACGGTGGGAGGAGATGAAAAAAATCAATTTGTTAATTTTAAAAATGCAGTTCATCTAAAAAGAATCAAAAAAATTCCCATTAGGATGTATGCTTTTCAAGACAGGAACTATATTAATTTTTAGCTTTGGATCACCAGTGCCTAGAACACATTAGATGCTAAATGTTTGTTGATTTGAATCACATTTTCTAAATAAACACACAGCAACTCTGGGAGGTAGGCGTTATTATTATTCCCATTTTACAGATGGGAAAACAGAGGCAAACAGTGGTTAAGTGACTTGCCCAGGATCATACAACTAGGAAGCATCTGAGGTGAACTCAGGTCTTCCTGGCTTCAAGTCAAGCCCTAACCACTGTACACCCCAGCCTGCTTACCGCCCCTCACTTTTGCTGTTACCACCTTTCTTTTCTCCTTGCATCCCCAGGACTTATCAAATGCTTTCCATAAAAAACTTAGTAATTGCCTTTTCATTGATTCTTTTTAGCAGTACACTCACTGCGTGACACATAGAAGGTATTATTAAATAATTAGTGAATGGGGGCAGCTAGATGGCACAGTGGATAGAGCACCAGCCCTGAAGTCAGGAGGACCTGAGTTCAAATCTGGCCTCAGACCAAACACTTGACACTTACTAGCTGTGTGACCCTGGGCAAGTCACTTAACCCCAATTGCCTAAAAAAACAACCCCCCCCCAAGAAAAAAATAATAGTGAATGAAGCCCTGTAGAGGCGTCATGAAGGTGAGGGCTAGGAAAGGTCATTGGATTTGGCACTTAGGGAATCAGGCTGTGCCACTGGTGTTAGAGAGACTCCCCTCCTGCCCAGTCACTAAAACAGCCCCACTGCTTCTCCTTTGCCTTGTCTTTTTACCTGATTTCATTTCACAGTAGACATTAAAGACTTCAGATTGGCTAGGTTTGATGGGGTAAATGCCGCTTGAATGCAGATCTCCATCGTAAAGAGCGGCGCAGTCAGCTGGACCATCTAGAATTAGGGGGCAACAGAGTGAGGACTTGGGAAGTGGGAGGATTACACATAGAACATGAACTGTTTTGTCTGAGGCTTTTCTGAATCTTTGCCTACAAAATGCTTCATGCCAGGGCACCTTCTAATGGTTACTGCTACACAATGACTGTATTAGATGGGGTTTTAAAGTCTTTTCTTTGAGGAAACATTTACAAAAGATGCCTGAGAAACATAATTGCACTTTGTGATGGAGATGGGGAAGCTGGAAATGGTCAAAGGCCAGTTTTTGAGATTGGTTGGGTTTGGGGTCAGGACCTGGCTCCCAGCTCTGGGTCTGTTCCTCCTTACTTGTGTGACCTTGAGAAATCATGGGCAAAGTGGTAGGCTTGGGCTTGGTCATTCCCAAGGGTGCTTCTTACACTCATTCTCTGTTCCTCGTCCCTTGTTCCTATTGCTTGGGAAGCCTCTTGTCCCTTCTCCTTCGGTTCTGTGTGAATCAGGGCTGCTGAAGTCGTGTCATACACAGGGGCTCCTGCTAGTCAGACTTGCTTTGTATTTTTCACTCTTAATCCATTTGCTTAGTAGGACATTCCCATTTTAGAAACATTCACCTGTGGGATCCTGCTGAACAGGTTTTGCAAAGCTCTCAATGATCTTACCATCATGTTCTTCAGATTTTGTTCCATTGAGCTGAAGAGAAGGAATGGTCCTTGGCGCTCTTTGCTTTGAAGAAAGTGAATTGTCTGCGGTTTCTTGAAAACCTGTCCTCCTTAGCTGATAAGAGGAACATGTACATATGATTAATTTCTTAAAAACTGCTAGGGCAGGCTGGGAGAGTGGGTTAAGTGCTGGTCTGATTAAGCAGAAGATGAGGAACACATACACATTCTCATTTTTCACAGCCCAGAAGGGATGATTCAAATGCCTGTGGCCTTCCCGTTTTGTGCCTAGAGATCCTGTGTGCTCTGGGAACATCCTGGGACCTCCCAGAGCCTCCTGCCTGGCATTAGGGGGAGGGCTTGCCCAGGGATGAAAGCCCAGATCCAGAAGACCCCGACTCCCAGGGTTTCCTTGGTAGAATACTGTCATTTATACAGTGCCACATAGGCATGGTTTCATTTGCTGCCCAGAAATGATGGGGGAACAGTAGGGCCACCACACTCGTCACATGTAGGTGATGCTTTGAATGTTCTAATTCTCTTTCCTCACAACAACCCTATTAAGCAAATAGTGCAAGTACTTATTCTTATTTGGCAGATGAGGAAACTGAGGCTCAGCATGACTGGCTTGCCTAACCTCACAGCCAGGGAGGGTCCTGGCAGCCTGGTGTCAAGTCCAGAACTCTCCTCTCCTCCTTGGCAGAGGGATTTTTCAAAAACATCCTTGTAAGGCAAGGGTTGTTGAACTCACACAGCTAAAGGATGTCAGAGACACCCTTTGAACCTTCCTTCCTCACTGCATGCCCAGAACTCCTTCCATTCCAGTTCTCAACAAAAGTACGTCATTGAGGCTCCATGTTCCTTCTCCCACTCGCCCGATGAAAGCGCTGTAAGCACTTAGCTCAGTATCTAAAGGACTGTTGCCATAGTTGCTGGATGCAGCCAGACATTCCTTTCTAATTTGTAGGTGCTCCTTAGGGGCTGCTGTGGCAGAGAAGGTCCCCCTTGGAGGGGAGCATTTGTCCAGCCCTCAGACAGCGGCCTACGGGCTCGTGCTCAGAGCGGCCGCCACACTTAACTGCCACCTATTGAGGAGGCGGTGAAGGAGAGACCCTGGTGGAGACTAGTAATACATATAATAGTGATGGCATTTTGTGGTCTGCAGATGGCTTCCTTCACAGCACCCTGTGACGTAGGTGGTGCAAGTGATCATATCCTCACCATACAAAAGAGGAAACTGAGTCTCGCTGAGATCAAGGGACCTGCCTAGAGAGGAGCAGAGGAAGCACTCACTGCCTTTCTTGAGCACCCGTCTGGTGCTTTCTGCCACTGATGGCAGAGCCATGGGACGGCCCTCTCCCCTCTCACTGTGGCCTTACCTGGTTTTCCATCTCTTTGATCTGGCCGTGCTGCTTGGTCAGCTGCTGGTACTGCTCTTGGACCGTTTGGAAAAGCTCTTTGATGCTGAGATCTTGCTGCTCTACAAAAGTCTGGAGATGGGGTCTGGTCAGAGGCCATCCTGGCCGGACCTGTCCCACCCTGACCCTGTGACCCCAGAGCCTGGCAGCCACTTCTCCCTGGAAGTTTTCTATAACAGTCTGTATATGTGCTTTTATGTTGGATTTCAAGTCAATATTCTTTGTGGCTTTTACTGAACTGGCTTTTTAATGTAACATTCCTTACATGGACCTGATGAAATGCAGTATTTCAATAGGAGAGGATTTTTAAAAATTCCTCTTAAAAACAACAAACCTCCTTTTTAGTCTTGAGTAATAATCCTAAATGTTTCCCACTTAGTGGTCCTTTAAATTTTTCATTTCACAATTTTGGTTTTCTACTTATTGGATCTTATATAATTTTGCTGATAAATGACCAATGATTTCAAAGACATTTTGCTTTGATTTTTTTTTTCAATTTAAAAGGAAATTTTTACAAAACATAATGAAATTTGGAAAACACAGATCTGATTTGAAATATTACATGAGCTTTGATTTTCCTGAAGCTCTTTTCCTCAAGAGCTTATTTGCAAATCCTACCTCTTTCAGATAACATTTTTGAGAAACCTGCGACAGAAGAAAAGCTTGCCAATAGAGACAGTCACTCATTGCGTGGGTGGTCTCACCTTGAGGAAGGTCACCTCTTGATGGCCCTGGCCTTGGGGTTGACTGCGAATTAATGTGATCAGCTTCTCTTCTAACACCCTCACTTTCTGCTGGAGTCGCATCTTCTCTTCTAAGAGATCTTCGAGCTTTGAATTCAGTTCGAGCGACAGATTTTTCATTTCTTCGTTTTTGGCTTGAAGATTTGAGGTCGTTTTGCGAAGCTCTCTCTCTTCTTCCTTGATCTCCTTGGTTTGTAGTGAGAGGTCGTAGAAAGACTTGTCAAATATGTTCAGTTTTTGAAATATGTCGTTAATCTGATTCTTCGTCTTGTGAACAAAGTCCTTGAGACCGTGTCCTAGCTGCAGGAGGCCATTGGCCAAGATCTTGACGTCATCCAGCATGGCGAATCTTGATTTTGGCTCCGGGGGGGGAGAGTCCAGCGGGGAATGACTCTGGTCAGTTCTAGAGGAAATAACAAGAGGGACGATTGCAAGGAAGAGGGAAATTGCTCTCATTTCTTTTTTCTGATTTCTGTTATTTATAAGAGGTATGGAACTAATTTCCTGTTGTAGCTGACCTAGATTGCTGAACTCTATATATACCCCAGTTGCTTCAGAAGAGGTGAGCTGCAGAAGAAAAGATAGTTGATCATTAAACTGTGTAAACCTGAACAAAGGTAACCCCTTTCTTTATTCAGTTAGGTCAGTTTTACTAAGCAGTAGTTTTAGGAATTAAAAAATAAATGTGATAGAAGTTGAACGTGTAATGATGTGTGGTTGCCTTTTTTTTTTAATTAATTTATTTTGAATACTAAATACCAACCCTTAAATAGACAATAAGAAAAGAAAAAGAAATATGTTATAAACTTAAATACAGAATAGGAAAAGAAAAAAGCATTGCTGCATATGCAGCCGGATGTAAGAGAGGATTCAAAATATAGAGCAATAGATTTCCGTTTCCAGAAAGCTGTATAATAAATACCACACATTGTGTTCTGAGCTGTCCATCTTTTCTTTGCTGCCTTGTGAATTTTCTTTTGTCCTCTGCTGTATACTTTTTACTTTGTTCTTTTTTCCACCTTCCTCCCTCACCCCCCACCAATTGTAGAAGGCTACAATTAAGTGTGGATACACACACACACACACACGCACATATACATATGTACATAGACTTACATACATATACTTAGATAGCTATGATATTCATATGTAGATGTATACATTTCTGTGCATCTATGTAAGACTGTACTATATTTATTTGGCCTCCTATTTTTTCTGAGGGTGGATAAACTCTTCTTTCATAAGTCCAAGTCTTTCCATATTTTTCTCAGTCCACCAACTTGTCATTTCCTATGTCACAGCAATATTCTAACCCTATAATGTCTAGTTATTTTAAATAGTCTAAAACAATATTGATTAATATGACTGGCGTATAAGGTAGTTTCCCCATTTTTCTCTTTTGATTAAAATTTTCCTTTTTTTCTCTTTTGTTTTCCAAAGCTGGTTTTATGATGATATTAAAGCGAATTATGAAGCAGAAATGAGCCCTTTATCTCACAGAAAATGGAATGCAGTTGACATTGAGGAAGTAATGGATAAAACTTAGATGTATACCTGTGTCTTTAGAAATATTGAAATTTTAAAATTATTTAGCAGTTCGGAGGGTTTACATTACAGTAGATCCGTGATGGCATTGCCATGAAGAGGCATTCCGAGATGAGGTAGACAGACCATCGATGCTAAGAGCGATAGGCCTTTACCAGAGAGGTGTTTTAATTTTCAAAACAACAGCAGCAAAACCAACCACTTGTGACCTAACTTGGGATTCCCAAGGGCCTGTCGGGGGGGGGAGCACAGAGGCTTCTGGAAGATGGTATCCTCAGAGGTGAGCTTTGCCTTGCCCACCTGCCAGGGTTGTGTTCCTTTTCCTCATGCTTGCCCTCTGCCCTTCTCACGTGCCTATAATATCAGGTTCTTCTTCCCTGCCCCAGTGATGTGCACACATTGGGGTGTTCAGCTCTGCTGCACACATCAGGGTACTCAGCTCTGCAGAAGGGTGCCCAGGGCTCATCTGCCAGCCCTGCTTGGTTGGTTGCTAGCCTCTGATGTAACCAGCAGGGAGGGGCCATTTATGGGCCAAGGGGCTCCCTTGAGTGCAGCAGGAGGCTGAGAATGTGGAAATGTGTGACCATCTGAAGGGTCCTAAAAAAGGGAGAGTGTCTGGACCACAGGCGGCATTCTATACATCGGCCTCGCAGCTCTCTGAGAGTTCCCCATCCTCTAGGGAAAAGCAGCCACCACAAGGTCGCTCGAGGAAGCTGGTTTCTGTTTGTACCATGTGTTGGAAAGTTAGACTTATGCAGGTTCTTCCTAAAACATGCTGCCTAGAACTGGAGCACAGTGTGCCAGATGTGTTCTGCCCAAGGTTGACCGTAATGAGAATGTTGTCTCTCTGCTTTAGACTCTTTACCTGTCTAAATTCTCTAACTTTCTTGACTGACACATCGTAGAGTTAACTCATTTTGACGTTATAGTTTGCTAGAATACCAGGCCTTTTTCAGACCTGCTTCCTCTGACCGTGCTTTCTCCATCTTAGACCTGTGAAGTTGATTTTTTGAACTTATATATGAAACTTTCTGTTTAACTCAGTTAAATTTCATCATATTAGATCTGGCTCAATATTCTAGTCTGTCAAGATCCTTTTAAATATTGACTGTCATACAGTATATTAGTTGTTCTTCCCAGCCTTGTGTCATCTGCAAATTTGCTAGGCATGCCATTTATGTAATTGTTAACGCTGAGTGAAGTAAGGACAGATCTCTGGTGCACTATGTTGGAGACCTCCTTCCACATTGACATCAACCATTTGGGACTGCTCTCAGGATTTTTGTGTTCAGTGGTAGAAGTATGGAAGTCTGCATCTCCAAATTGTCCACAGAAAGGCCAGGAGAGATTTTTTTCTATCGAATACTTTGCTAAAAGTCATGTAATATTTATTTATAGCATTCCCTTGAACTACCAATCTTGTCACTGCTGAAAGAGGAAAACACATGCATCTATCACGACCTGCTCTTGATGAAACCGTGGTGGTTCTTTGGGATAATTTCTTTCTCTCCCAGATGCTCATGGACCAATTCTTTATTGATGCCTTTTAGAATTTTCTAGGAATCAGTTAAGATGACTGTTTGTAGCCTTCATTTTCTTCCCTTGTTTTAAAAATTGAGCCAGCCCCTGGCCTTCCACAGCTCCTTGCTGCTGCTCCCATTCTCCACTAGACTCCCAGTGATACCGACAGTTACTTAGCATCATCTCTGCTGGTTTTTTCAGTACCTGAGGATGTGGCTCCTATAGGCCGGCTACTTAAGCTCATTAAGGGTTGCCGGGTTCTGGCTTACTGTCAATTCCTCATTAGCCATTTGTGTTTGGTTGCTTTCAGTCCAAAGATCATTCTGTCTAGTAGAGAAAGCAAGCAGAATAAATATTAAGCACTTCTGCCTCTTCTCCCCCATCTGTTATCATTGTCCTGTCCACTCCAAACGACAGTTCTGTCCTTTCTTTGATCTCCCTCCTTTCCCCAGAGCATACAAAATACAAAACCTCTTTTTTGCGGTTATATATGTTTTTCAAAGTATTCACTTCAGATCAAGGGACATTTTTTTAAAAATCATCTGCTTTGTACAAAGCTCTTCACTAGGTGCCGATGGGATGCTGAAGGGATAAAATACATGCATGGATGATGATAGATGAGCGATGCAGGCTAAGTGCTGTGGGCAGATGCACAGGAGGCTGACATGGGACATTCAAGGGGGAAAGGTGGTGGAGAGGAGACTCTCCCAGGAAGATGTGAGCTGCTGATTGCTGGAGCTCCCTGGCCAGAGCTGGATGGCCACGTGCAGGGGATTCTGTTTGATCCGCAGTGGGTGGATGGCTCCTGAGAGCCTTTCTAACCTGAGTGGCTGTCAGGCAGCCTGTGGGAGCGGAAGCAGCTTTGGGCCGGGATCAGTTAGAGACCTCAGTCCAGATTGTTCTTCCGGTGGTTACCACTTGGGTCATTAGGAAACCACTTAGCCTTCACCTGCAAAATGAGAAGTAAAATCATGTGTATGATGCTTTGTGGTGCAAATTGTTGTAAGACTCAAATGGGAATCCCGAGGTGCTTCTGGACCCTCTCTGCTGTGAGCGCCTCCTCTGTCCCTGGAATCGCTTTGTATTTACTTTTTTTTTAATTTTTAGGCAATTGAGGTTAAGTGACTTGCCCAGGGTCACACAGCTAGTAAGTGTCAAGTGTTTGGTCTGAGGTGAGATTTGAACTCAGGTCCTCCTGACTTCAGGTCTGCTACTCTGTCCATTGCGCCACCTAGCTGCCCCAATTGCTTTGTATTTACTTACGGCTGTTTTGTATATTAAGGTAGGTCCCAACTAGCGCAGATAAGGGATTCCCACACAGTAGGTTGTACTATCTGAAGTTACGTTGTACTGTGGTCATTGTTTCCAGCCAAGTAGAAATATGCAGCACAAATTGAAGTGATTTGACTGCTTCGTGGGATTCATTATTCATGCTAATTGGGACCTGGGCTGCTTAGATGTGCACATGCTGTTCTTGCCATAGAAGGAAAGCTTCCTGATGGGCAGAGGCCGCTTACCTTTTGTCTTTGTATCTCCCACGCTTCTCATGGTGCTTGGAACATAGTAGGGTTTAATAAGTGTTTGTTGATTGAAAATAACTGTAAAGCACTTTGTAAACCGTGGGATGCTGTGTAAATAGTTATTACTGTAGGAGAAGGTGATCAGGGATGGCTCCGTAGGGCAGTCGATGTGTGACTTTGAGTTTTGCAGAGTGTTTAGGGAAGAGGGTGAGGGAATGCATTCTAGGCACAGGGGAAGGTCTGAGCACAGACACGTGGGTAGCAGCATGTCTGGCTTGTTTCCTGGGCCAGAGAATCGTCGGGCTTGGTGGACGTGTGGAATGGGTAGGGAGCACAAAGAGGATGCCAGGCTGTGCACGTAACCATGGATTGTGGAGGGTTTTGAAAGCCAAGCATTTAAACTTGGTAGACCTGAGGCTGTGTGCACACCTCCAGCTGCCCTTTCAGCACTGGGTGGATGGGGCCAGAAGGCCGGTCCTGGGGCTGGGCTGAAAAGTAGAGGTGTATGACAGAGGGAAGGCTCCAGTATTTTGCCAGAAACTCCTGTGCCATGGAAGGCTCACCTTCCTTACCCTCTGTTGCCTTTGGCAGAAGCAGCAGCTGCTATCAACCCTTTCCTCATGGAAGAGAAGGCTTTGTGATCAGCCCTTCCACCCACCATTTTGTGAAACAGGAATTAACATGTATCAAGTCTTAGGGGTTTTTTAATTTTAAATAAACTTTGTTCAGTTTGTAGGACCAGGGGCTTACGAATGTCCAAAGGCAGATTATTACTATTCCTGTGATAGGAGCCATTTCACAGATGAGGGGTGCCCTTCCCTGCTTCTGCCTAGTGCTTGGAACCCCTCACTCTGCCCTTTGACGGAAAAGCCCTTTAGGCACAGACACGCATGACCTGGTGCTATGGTGACAGCAGGCATATCTGCCGGGCTTGTGTGAGGGGCTTAAATTGGAAGG